ACATGTTAATTGATAGATCATTTACATACCAACATATAGACGTGCAAGTGTCTCCCTGTAGCCTCCATCTGTTGTGAGAAATGTTGGTGGTGTAGATATTAAATATATATATCATCTATATTGGTTGGATTTGTATTGATTTGTTATGCAATCGTGTGTATCTTACACCTGTGACATAGTTTTCACATGAGCAGCATTCGGGTTCAGCTGATCTCACATTCCACAACGTTGCCATTATAGTTGTTACATGCGCTTCAGATTACAGCAGCAGGACAGACACAGACAGAGCAGTAAAGCATGGATAGGTGAGGACCCAGAAGTCATCAAACACAAAAACCATTCACAAAATTAGATGTGAATGTATACAGTATGTTGTAACCAAAGCATGCACTCTACTTACACAATTATTCATTAAAATATTGAACTCCCATTTGTTATTTACATTTATTTGTAATACCTAATTAATTATTATATCTTACACCAACATACATCAGCTATCTTTGTGTTATAATTATTTGGAATAAGGTCTGACCTTTCAAACTTCTGTGCTATTATAAAATACGTTGCTTCATGGGAGTTGTATTCCGCAATAGGTTCAAAGTGATGCGTCGGCTGCGTTCATACACTTCATTACCCAGAAGGCTTCGCGCACTCATACGTCAACTGCAATCACGGCTGTATCTCCAACATGGCGTCGCTGGGAAGGAGGCGCGGTGTCCCAGTAAGCAGGGAGAGGTCAGTTACTCCACATCTTAGCTATTAAACGAAATTGTTTTAATATAATACATAGTTTTGTCGATATTGCCATTCAACAGACCCCGACCATGCATATGGTTTGGCGCTTAAAGTGAAACGCCAACACGACAAGTCAGAATTTTGTTCCAGTGTTAGCTAACGCTAGCAGGCTAACGTGTACAGCTAGCTTAATGTTAGCAAGGAAACCAACTAGCAGCTCATGTGATGTTTTGGTTATTTCACAGCAGACGTTTAATCGTGGGAAAAGTTGCGTTTAACCGTCTGCGGGTGTTTGAGGTGGTGTTGTGTGCCTCGGCTGGCTAAATGCTAAACATTTGTGTTTGGGCTCACAGTTTGGTCCACTGTGTTTGTCGACATGTTTTAAAAAGTGAAACGCACCTCATCTTAGCTGCTCCCAACTTTTCACCATGCATGCGAGTTAGCTTATGTTATCCAACCGATGGACAGGTACATAATGTCCCTTGCACTGTCAATGTTAAATGAATTATTCGTTAGCTAATGTCCGCAAAGCCTGATAAGCCTGGTGTCTCTCTAAGTCTTTTAGGTTTGTTTGCTCTCATCATGCACTGAAAGGCCTCGCATTGTTAACACTGATCCACACATAACATTATTTAGAAACACCTGGAAACACTACACTGTAAACACAATTAGTCGACAAATAAAGCAGATGGAAATTAGTTAAGATAAAGATCTAAAAAGTTGTTTGTTACAACTGCTGTGTTTTATGTGTCATTGACATGACATTACATTACATGACTTCAGCTATGAACACTTGTGATGACCATTTCACAATTTTTAAATGTTTATGAATGAATGTTAAACAATATGGAAGAATTACTAATTTATCCCAAGTTGAAATAATAGATATCCAAATAAAATGTGGAATTACAACCAACGTAGGATACATTCAAGAATACAATTTTAAATATGCTTTCTAATGTTGTATTCCCAATCTTACACTCTCACACTTTATTATAATTGAAAGGTCGTCTTTTACTTAAGCAGGTATCATTTTAACTAGAAGCTATTAATTTATCAGTTATGGAAATAGTTTCTAATGTAATAGTTGCGTAGTTGGTACAGTGTGTACCAGGGAGTAATGATTGATAGCAACACATTAACAATCAATCAAACACAGATGTTTAAAAAGACAGCACGAGTGCCATGTTGAAACTATATAGTTTACAAAAACAAATGTTATATTTATAGGTACGTCTTATTCATATATATATATATATATATATACATATACACACACATGATAGGGGTTTCAATCGAAAAAACAATTTGGGTACAATAACCAGCTGGGGATGTTGGTTTTAGCAATTCAAGACAAAAACATTCACAGGTCCATGAAATGTCGCCAGATAGGTGTAAAAAATGTAGTCAAAACCGACCTTGACACTGCAAGCCTTTTAACATTTCTCTCATTGTTCTTTGCCTGTTTTTCTGTTTCTGAACAGGGGAGTGATGGCAGCGACAGAATGCTACATTGTGCACGAGATCTACAATGGGGAGAATGCGCAGGACCAGTTTGAGTACGAGCTGGAGCAGGCACTGGAGGCCCAGTATAAATACATTGTCATTGAGCCCACGCGCATCGGAGATGAAACGGCCCGTTGGATTACCGTGGGTAACTGCCTGCACAAGACGGCCGTGTTGTCAGGCACTGCTTGCCTCATGACGCCACTTTCCCTGCCCATTGAATACACGCGCTACGTGGCGTTGCCCGCCGGCGCCCTCAGTGTGGCCTGTTCTGCCCTCTACGGCATCTCATGGCAATTTGACCCCTGCTGCAAGTACCAGGTGGAATACGACAGCCAAAAACTCTCGCGGCTGCCCCTGCATACGCTCACCTCCTCGACGCCCGTGGTTTTGGTACGCAGGGATGACGTCCACAGAAAGAGACTCCATAACACGATAGCACTGGCCGCCCTGGCGTACTGCGCCATGAAGATCTATGAACTCTATGCGGTATGAGCGCACTCTGAAGAGGGTTTAAGAAGCAACAGAAAAAAAGGAAAAAACAAACAAAAAAACAACCTATCCAACCCCAGATGTAAGGAAAGTGGAAGTCCCGATCACACATGGTGGGTGCTTCCATTTTGAACTTTGATCAGAGGGATATAGTTAAAACTAGAAGGAATTGTTTTTTCCCTTACGTTTTATTTTCTTCTATGTGACAACAGCAGCACACTTATCTCCTTAGTACCCTTGTGCATCCTTCCCTGCACCCTCGACCTGCTATCCTTGACACACAAGCAAGTGCACAAGGGTACGGCAGCAGTTCCTCCGGATTGAATTGTTTTGCAGTTGAAAAGGACCGACATGTTTTGAGTACCAAGCTCTTTCCCTCGTAGTTTTACTGTACCCCTTTCTTGCTGATCAGTACACCACCCTTTCATTAAACATTAGGTTATTTCAAACTAACTTTTCTGTATTTTATTTTACTTTTTTTTTTTCATTAAATGGATTCTCAACATTGTCCAGAGAAGAGCAAATAGCTGCAACTTATTTGAGATTGTGTCTTGTTCATGTAGATATTCTTGTTTAAAAGAGTGTGAGAAAGATCTTATGTGGCTCAATGTCCTCTTTTGAATCACTACATAAATACTTACTTTTAGAAAACCACACTTCCCACATCCTTTTATTAATGTATATTACATTGACATTAGGCCAAAAATATATTTGACACTAAAGACAGCCAATTATAAATTCATACTTTCTTGTACATGTTAGCCAATGCTTGTTATGAGTTGCTGTTTAGATTAGACGTTTTTAATTTGGGGTCCCATGAAGAGATACAAATATGGACTAAGTGCATCATGAGTTCCGATAAAAGAAGAGACGTGCAACAATTGAACTATAAAGTGAAATTTAAATGTGAATAAGTGGAATACCAAGAGTGACAGTATTGTTGTCGGGGTCACTGATTGAAAGGACATCAGCAGGATGAGGATTGTTGACTTTGCCAGCAGGACTTGAGCAAAATACAACTTGTTCATAAAGAATTTCCTAAATTTTGTGTAAATACGTTAAAGGTCCATCAAGAAATGTACTAAATAAATTGTAAACTTACTTCAAGGTTTGAAAATTTTTGGTGTTTCAGTAAGTATTGTGATGCAAACAGACAGCTGTGATTTATATCAGTCTAACATCAGTCTGTGGACAATTTCAGACGTCAACGGTGTATCTATTACATCTATCACACTGGTTTAAAAGGATAGTGAAAAGGTATTAAAGAGTTTACTTCATGATGCTCATCTGCTTTTTCTTTTTTAAACCAGTAAAGGGGGCGTACAACTGTTGCAAAAAGTGATAGTTTCTTCCTACATTTTTAAAGTGTAGAACAAAGACTATTGGTTTTAACTTGGAGAAGATAGTAAAGGTAAATTATGCAATTGAAAAAAAATAACATTTACGCACACAGTCTCCAACACATTCTAATGTAATTTCCTCCCACCATACATATACCTGTATGGGACGGGCAGATCTGAGGCAGAGCAGTGCTCAGAGGGCGGCCTGACAGACTCATTATTTTACTGATTTGCAGCCAGAGCAGTCTAATTATCTGTCAGCTGACCGGCTGCTACGTGAGGCTGTTTGTCAACCATTTTAAGGTAGCGATGCTTGCTCTGCTGGAATAAGAATGCTCCAGTCATCAGAAAATACAAATAGCCACTTTTTACTTATTCTCCCAAGAAAAGATCTGAGTTCCTGTGTAAATGCAATACTAGAGAAATCTACTGACACATGTAGATTGTTTGCAGTGATGGAGCCTAGACAAATCATTACAATATGGTTGTTTCTCTTTATTTCATGCCTCTTGTTTCTCACACAAAAATGAAAATAAAACCACTTTAACGTTCTGCTGTTGAAACAGCACAGCCATTATGTAATGTTTCAAAACCAAATGTTATAATACGATGCGATATACTTTATTGTCCCCGTAAGGAAATTTGTTCTGGACTCTAATGAAAGTATATTGTTAGATAAATACAAAATAAATACAAAAATAAAGCTCTTGATATTAATTTAGCTGCTGATATTCTGCATAGAGTCAAGCCTGGACGAATAATTGTTTTTTGACACAGAAATGGCAACTTAAGCCCATGTGTGTTTGCTCCTTCAGCCTACTTGGTTATTGAACTTCAACTCCCACAATTCCTAGCGCGGCCGGTAGTCCTTCAATAATCTCCCTCCGGTCCCCTGGTCCGTCCATTATCGTGTTCCTGTCAGTGGAGCCCGGAACTGCTTTTATTTCCGACTCGACTCCTGTGGTGTTCGTGCAGACAGGCAGCAACCCAGGTGAGTTTAAACCAAACACGAAAACTAGTGTTTGATTTAAGGAAAAATATGGAAGCTAGCTAGCGTTAGCATTTGCGACAGCAGCTACTTCTGAGTTACACATGAGAAGCCTGGCTATGCAGTTTATGCTGTGCTCATTGGGTTTTGTTATATTTCACCTAGGGTTTTAACATCTTAACTCTCTTATATTGTGTTCTCCTGTGAAAGGTGGAATAAGACCTTATCACCACTTTTGTTACCAGGTATGCATTCTTAAATGTGCTTAATTATGCAGTAGACTTGACAATTCAAACAACTCATATTTCTCCTGAGCCTGTATGAAGTTCATGTTATGTCGGATGCTTTATCAGGAGTATGTAAAGATGCAAGGGCATACACAGAACAGAAGACACTGTAAAGCAGACACAGGACAGATATTCACAGTATGCATACTGTTTTTCACTGTGTCCCATTTTACTTTACTTGCTCGTTAAATGACTTGTTTATAAACAAATCAGCATGATTTGAGAATGTGAAGGGAATTCAAATGCTTACTTTTCTTATGTGGCTTATGAGTATCCTTTGTAGGCAATTATAGAATATGCTTATCTTGCCATTATTATAGTAGCCTATGGTAAAGGGGACTAAATACAAATCCATTATATTTTAACTTTTTCACTCTCCTGGTTTTAAAATAAATGATCCTCCTGATACTCAAAGTGTGTGTGTGTGTGTGTGTGTGTGTGTGTGTGGTGTGTGTGTGTGTGTGTGTGTGTGTGTGTGTGTGTGGTGTGTGTGTGTGTGTGTGTGTGTGTGTGTGTGTGTGTGTGTGTGTGTGTGTGTGTGTGTGTGTGTGTGTGTGTGTGTGTGTGTGTGTGTGTGTGTGTGTGTGTGTGTTAGGGCTGTGCAATTAATCGTATTTTAATCGCAATTACGATTTTGGCCTGCCACAATTACGAAAACAACATAATCGAAAAAAACAATTATTTTGCTTTGCTAGGTTGTGACAGTGCACTGCAACATATTTGATCTAATTAATTTTGGTCTCATTTATTTGTATTTATCATATTTATATATGTTTAGTAGCTTGGGGAATTGCGCTCCAAAATATTTGTTGATCTTGTTTATTGGTATTTATTATTTTGATATTATTTATTTAAATGTATCATTTATTTTATTTATTTTTGTATTGGTTTTTCAGTTGAATTATATGTTCAGGGTAATCAACAGTTAAAAAAATACTGTTCAAATTATTATTTGTATTTGTTTTAAAGTTCAATAAATGGATTTTTTCAAAGTCAATGAATAATCGTATTTAATAATCGTGATATCAATTATTGACCCAAATAATCGTGATTATGATTTTTGCCATAATCGCACTGTGTGTGTGTGTGTGTGTGTGTGTGTGTGTGTGTGTGTGTGTGTGTGTGTGTGTGTGTGTGTGTGTGTGTGTGTGTGTGTGTGTGTGTGTGTGTGTGTGTGTGTGTGTGTGTGTGTGTGTGTGTGTGTGTGTGTGTGTGTGTGTGTGTGTGTGTGTGTGTGTGTGTGTGTGTGTGTGTGTGTGTGTGTGTGTGTGTGTGTGTGTGTGTGTGTGTGTGACACAGGAGGAAAGGATTTAATTGAATGCCTCAGATGATCAAACATTCACAATGCTTTTGGCAAAGGGTCTTCAGAGCTTACAGTACTGTTATTTATTATCATTGATGGCGCACAGATATATCGTCTGACCATGTTTGTTTTAAACAGACTTTGGTTGCGTGACATCGTTGTAGAAGAGCATTGGATTTAAATGGTTTAATATTGCAATTAACAATGTTCAAACTCTTCGTAACTGCATTTATTAATCTTGTGTCTACAGGTAGCAGGCTGAGTTTCAGTCATGGAGCGCATCATGGGAGGAGGTGTGTTTCAGATGGTTTTAGCTAGTGCCGGACTCTTGCTGCTCTATCGGATCCTCGTCCGCCTCAGACCCGGCACTGCTCTGCAGGACGCTGTGGTGGTCATCACCGGGGGCAGCTCTGGACTGGGGAAAGGTCGGCCTCCTGCTCATTTTCTTTCTTCACTTTAGGTCACATGTACATTGATAGTATTTGATGTGCAGCAGTTGATGACTGATGCGTTTCAGTGATGTGCTTCAATTCCCTGATTTGATCTTCGCCATAATAAACAAGTGTGTTTTTTGTGTTATAGAGTGTGCCCGGGTGTTTCACGCAGCAGGTGCCCGTCTGGTGCTGTGCGGACGAGATGCAGGCCGCCTGCAGCAGGTGATCCAGGAGCTCACAGACAGTTCAACAGGATCACAGCGTCAGGTGAGCACACAAACACAGACACGTTGTCAGACATAACCAAAGATCTAATGGTATCGGGTTCTCAGGCCATCAAAGCCACTGATGGTCTATTTATCTCACCAGAGTTCCCTGCCTGATGTCTCCAATACCAATATATCACACAATAACTTAATATATTTACCATTGTCTCTCAGACATTTTAAATGCCCCTATTATGCACATTTTCAGGTTCATATTTGTATTTTGCCTTTAAAATAAAGGCCTTTGCAGACCATTTACATGCACAAAAACCTATGTAACACTCTTCCCTGGAAAGGAGAAAAACCACAAAAAGCATATTAGGGGCTCTAATTTATCTTAGTTGGATTAGATTTGGTATAATGTAAATTCACAACTCAACAATATACATAACGTAAGTCTTGTTTTGAATCCTAACTGTTCTGTTTGTTCCACCACCAGACCTACACCCCCTGCAGTGTGACCTTTGACCTGGCTGACACGGACACAGTGGACAGAGCTGCAGAGGAGATCCTGAAATATTACGGACACGTGGACGTCCTCATCAATAATGCTGGAATCAGTTACCGCGGCAACATACTGGATACTAATCTCTCTGTTCAGCGGGATGTGATGGAAACAAACTACTTTGGGCCCATCGCTCTAACTCAAGGTCAGTGAGGAGCACTTTTGGAAGCCAGTAAGAGTTTGATGTTGTTTATGGGGTTAGAGAAAACATAAGGAAGCCAAACCATTGAGAAGTTATTTAAAGGACCATAAACCAGAATAAGGAGAGAAATGGCATAAAATATCCAAGCTAACGCAGATTTCTGAGGGGAGGAAGCACTCTCTCCTAATTTTCTCAGCTTCTCGCCTTCTTCTTTCCTCCCTCCACAGCGCTCCTGCCCTCCATGGTTCAGAGACGCAGCGGCCACATCGTCGTCATTAGCAGCGTCCAGGGCAAGATGGCCATTCCTTACAGATCTGCATGTAGGTTTTCTTAACTTCTTTATGTAAATCAAACGAAAACCCAGATTATGTTTCCATCTGGTTGACTGTAAATGACGCAGGACTCTGGTTTGTGGTCAGACGCGGCCTCTAAGCACGCCACCCAGGCTTACTTCGACTGCCTACGGGCGGAGATCGAGCGCTACGGGATCCCAGTGACGGTGATCAGTCCCGGGTACATCCGGACCAGCCTGTCCCTCAACGCCGTCACAGGAGACGGATCCAAGTATGGAGGTGAGGCAGTGAAGCGCTAAAGAAAATATCAATGAGTGGGGGAAATATGTAAACACAAAGGTATAATATATAACGTTTCCAAATTGAAAATTCTACGTACAACAATTTTCAGACCCAGAGATATCAGTGATTTTTATTCAAGAAAACGTCCTGTTTAGTTTGGTGGCCTGTAATGGCGTCGCTCTCCCTTTGCACAATTTTTGTTGTTATTTTATCTAAACTATCATAAATCGCCTTTTATCCAGTTTTAAGCCAAATTCTTAACTTTTTCTTAAATTTTTAACTATATATTTTAACAATTTTTTTTTTTGGAAGGAGGATGCCACTACTTAAAAACATGGCTACCTTTTTACGATAAAGGTGTAGGAATCCTATCCGTGAGAAGCTGACCGCAATGACCGAATCCTATAACTCTACTACAACAAACTCCATAATAAGACATTAATAAATACAAAACGATGCAAACAAATGTTTAATAGAAGATAAAAACAAGTTAAAATGGAATATAAAATGATAAGTCCCACCAAATTAAATGAACTATTTTCTTTACTAGTTGTCCTACTGACTCTCCTGTGTCATTCACATGCTTCTTGTTTGTGCAACACAGTTTTGGATAAAACCACAGCGTCGGGTCGGGACCCCTTGGATGTGGCCCGGGCGGTTCTGAGAGCGGTCCGTCAGAGGAGCAAAGACGTTGTTCTGGCCGGTCCTCTGCCTAGTCTGGCCCTCTACCTCCGCACTCTGTGGCCCGCACTCTTCTTCAAACTCATGTCCTCTCACGCTCGCAAGGAACAGAAACCTAAAGAGGAGTGATGGAGGAGAGGAAGTGGAGCGCTAACCACCTGAAGAGGAGTGATGGAGGAGAGGAAGTGGAGCGCTAACCACCTGAAGAGGAGTGATGGAGGAGAGGAAGTGGAGCGCTAACCACCTGAAGAGGAGTGGTGGAGGAGAGGAAGTGGAGTGCTAACCACCTGAAGAGGAGTGATGGAGGAGAGGAAGTGGAGCGCTCACCACCTGAAGAGGAGTGATGGAGGAGAGGAAGTGGAGCGCTAACCACCTAAAGGGAGTGATGGAGGAGAGGAAGTGGAGCGCTCACCACCTGAAGGGAGTGATGGAGGGGAGGAAGTGGAGCGCTCACCAAACACAGGACATGTTGGAGGCACATGGACCAAAACATGAATGACTGCTTTACATGAAGGTGTGAATACATGCAGCTCTCTGTGACACAAACAAAACAGAAGCTTGTATGTTGAATCAGCAACTATGGTGAGTGTTTTTGTATTGTTTGGACTTCCATATCTTGTAACAACTAAACTCCCACTTAATGAAGTCGCTAAGAGGCTAGGCTTGTTGCTGTGACCGTACGTGCCGAGTTAATGTTTTATTAAAGAAAGTTTAACAAACGATAGCAACAGAAAACCCCAGGATACAGCGGGTGAACTAAATACCATTAAACCACACCCAGGTGACAATTTCAGGAAGTGATAACCAATTACAAATATGTGCTCTGTCAAGAATGAATGATAATAAAAGACAATAAACAACTGCTAAATCACAATTTGGCTCCTACATTTGTGATTGATCAAGTAAGCAGGGTTTGTTATTCAGCTCTTTCAGACATGAAGACACCAAGTAACACTCATACTGTCACGACTCAAAGCTTTGCTGGAAAGACAGTTTTTGATGGTGTTTTTCCAAAATGCTTTAATTTCGGAAGACCAAAATTGTTTAGTGTGTAATTCTGTCAGGTATGGGGAGAAAATACTGTCAGTGTCCGAGAATGACTACTTTTTCAATTGTTTCTGTGTCCAACTCATAATCAGCATTACAAGCCACCTTTAAACTAAATAAAGAAAACAGATGAGAATGATGGTGCAAACATTTCTTTTAACTGCTTTCCATCTCATCAGCAGAAACCAGTTTAGGAGAGAACCTAATCTACCAAAATACTGGATTTGATAAAAGTGTTTGAGCTGTTTTGGCAGATGATCTACTCACAGCAGCTGCATAGATATCAGAAAGCACACCTTGTGTCTGGGTCAGCTGTATCACCACTGTAAATGATTCTCTACACAAAGTTGTTTTAATACCTGCAGGGGAAGGAAATACTGCTTATCGCTGACCGGAGGAAATAGCTTTTTTTATGGTCAGTTGGATTTCCTGTTATGGTCAACGTGTTTTTTCAGCTATGTTGTAATACTTTATTTGAGTCACGTGAGTAGCAGCACATCCTCTGTATTTCTGTGTAGTATATATTTGTGTTAAAATAATTAAAGGAGCTCAATTATTCTCATTTTCAGGTTTCATAACTGTATTTGTTTGCCTGTACTGTGACGTAGGCCTACAATTCTTTAAAAAGTGTGTAGTAAAATCAATGCAAGGTACACACAATGAAAACCAAAAGAAAGCAGGTTTTTATAACTCTTTATACGCAGAATAAAAACACTTTTTTACAAACAGGTTTTTCCTTTTTAGATGTCTTCTTAATATTAAGTTAAACAAAAAAAATTCTGAAATGTTTATAATAAATAATCCAAATGACAATTTACGTTAAGTTACAAAAGCGCAGTGAATACTGGAATCGACATTTGTACAAATAAATCCTTCGACCACAAAAAACAAACCTGCTGTTTATTCCTTATTAAGAATCATCTTCGTTGTATCTAGTGTGAGAAGATGAAGCCTTTTTTCACAAACGAATAAACAGCACAAGAGCTTTTCCATCGTAGAGTCAAAGCCCTGAAGGTGCATGGAGGAGACAAACATTTAAGATGTGGAATGACAACAAGAGCTCTCCTACAATTTACCCTCGTGTTGATGAGACGAAATGTCGACAATACTGCATAAAGAGGATGCTGGTTAATCGAAATGTGTAACAAATCTGGATGCAAGACGTCTGAAATTGTGTGTTTATGTAATGGTGAAACGTTAGCCATAGTGTTTTTTTGTTAGCATCAGTATCAGCACTTCTCAATGGGGAATTATCGTCTCAGCACAACCAATCAGAAGGCTTTACTTTTGATTTAAAGAATGACAACACAACTTTGTGTCAACTATGGCTTTAGTGTTTGATTTCTAGAAGTTACTTCTGACTGGAAGAGTTGAAATGTTGAAAATGAAAGCGTGGTAAGTCACATTATGGGTGAAACATCTCGACTCGCTTCTTCCATGTTTTAAGCGACAACAAACCAACCTGAAGCCCTTAGCAGTCAGTTTTATCATCTCAAGAAATATGAAATGGAATGGCTGCTGGAGAGGATCCTCCAAAAGAAAAGCTGCCTTTTTTTTTCCACGGGACATTTGATCGTAAGAAACCTGATTCCAAACACGCATGGCAGGATATGTTCCTTAAATGCAACAAATAAAACCTGAGCATGTGAAACAGAGGGCCGTATCAAATGATTGTACTTTCCTGCACCTGCTGTGTTATGCTCTACCTTTGCAACCCGATTACCAAATAAAAAGTATTTACCATTTTCAACTTTTTTCTCAATGCCATTAATGTAAAAAAAAAACCTCCAGCAGCTGGGGTCTGATCTGCACACTGTATTTTTGGGGGGGTTCATTTGAGAGCTTAGAAGTCAGACAAACACACAGAGAGCAGGAAGAGACGTCGCATAAAAGATCAGTGAAAAGATTTTGTTCAGATATGGCATAGTATTTTCCTGTACATGAGGTTGTGTTTTGTAAACGCATTTGTTTGTTTTTTTACTAAAGTGTTTCTTATTAAAGGGCATCTCAACTTAAAGAACAGTTCAGTGGAGCCAACCAGTTTCAAACTCGCTGTCGAACAACGCTCAAGGCTCACTGTTATTATTGCACTTTTACAAACAGGGCAGGGAGGAAGCTTTGGGAGTGGGAGTGGGAGAGGGAGAGGGGGGGGGGTCTTTCTTTCTTTCTCCACAGCCATCTTTTCTCAGTCTTAACGGCGCGGACTCATGTCCTCCAGATGGCCGAGGGTCGTTGGAGCCTGGTCTCCTCAGGGGGGGGGGGCTCCGTCACAGCCAGCTCCTGAGCCAGGTCGTTGAAGCGGGCGATGTAGTCCACGCTGCTCTCACTCATCATACAGGCCAGCTGAGAGTCCATCTGTGGGAAACCAGAGAGAGTTCAATGTACTGCAGACAGACACAGAATCAGCACTTTTGAAACAGAGGGGTTTATGGGATGCTACAATGATCTGTTTGGTATTTCAGCCAAACACTTCAGAGACATGTTTTGTATATATCTGAGACCTATGATATATGTGACCCGCTCTATCGAAATCAGTCGGAAGTCGCAACGGTTCATTTCAAAATAAACGTGGATTTGCGTAAAAAAATAGTTTTTCGGGGTTCGGGTGTTTTTTTAAATTTTAAATAAACAAAGTCTTGGCTTTCAGAATGTGAAACTTTTATTTCCAAAATCACACGATAAATACATGTTTGAAGCTTGTAAAGGGAAGATGACAGCTCTCCCTCGCCACTCTGCTCTTCCGCAGCGCCGCGCCGCACCCCCTCCCTCCCGCTGAAGTTATGAATGTAAGGCGTATAGTAATCATAGATAACACGGCAGGGTCCGTTACAGTGTGTTTTCATCTGATTTCAATTAAACAAAGTCTTGGCTTTCAGAATATTAAACTTGTTTCGGCAAATTCAGATGATAAATACAACTTCTCCGCTTGTGACGGCATAATTACAAGCGGAGAACGGACTAACTTGACGTCACAGCAGGCATAACAACAGCCGGTGTTTCTCGTGAGTGTTTTCCCCGGGAAACAAACAATACACAGAAACGCAAAATTACACAAACACACACACACATATACACACACACACACACACTCGCGAGCTTCCCCCAGAGCAGCAATCCAAACGAAAATATCTTCCCTCCGTAGTATTTTGATCATTTGCTCCCCTAATAATCAATCAGATCGATGGATTCCAGAGAAGAGGAAACTTTGAAGGCCTTTTTCTCAAAATGATGACTCGGTGACAGTCATTATATAATGTGATATATTTTGCTTAATATTTGGAGTACAACAACAATCCTGATATCATTAGAAAGCTAGGAATCTCCTCTTTCCAACTCAAAATGTGTCTTCGGGTCAATGAGACTAATTTCGATGGAGCAGGTCACATATTGTTAAAAAAAGAGTATAATAGGTGACCTTTAAGTGAGAGTAGCAATACTACAGTGTTAAAATACTGTTATAAATAAAAATGGAAAAAAGTCCTGCATTAAAATAATAACCCTACGCAAGAAAAAGTACAGAAGTACCAGCTTTACAATACACCACATATATAAATGATGTAGTTAATGTATTATGATTAGGGCTGTCAGTCGATTAAAATATTTGATTGTGATTAATCGCATGATGTCCATAGTTAATCGCAAATTAATCGCACATTTTCTATCTGTTCTAAATGCACCTTAGAGGAATATATTTCAAGTTTTTAATACTCTTATCAACATATGAGTGGACAAATATGCTTTATGCAAATGTTTGTTTATTATCATTGGAACAATGACAAATATTCTCCTGAATATTTTCAACACAACAACCTGGAACCTCTCTCTCTCTCTCTCTCTCTCTCTCTTACACTCTCTCCCAACCCTGTCTACTTCTTTGCACTGAGCCAGTTGCTCAAACAGACAAGCCTGTTTACAGTTGTCGGCGAAATGCCGCTCCTCTGTCTTCATAACAGTCAAAGCATGAGACTGAAGTTCCCATCTAGGGTCAAAATAATGCGCTGTGATGTGCAGTCGACACGTTGGATGCGATCCGAATTATCTAACGCAGCACCCCCATCTGCGAGGCTCCACTAGCACCCCCCCCCCGCAAGCGAGCGGCAGGAGCGGGGCTGTCAGCATCAGCTGTGTGCTTGGCTTGCTGTTTAAAACACCTTTTTTTGTATCCATATCTCTCGCTAGAATCTCCCACCATCCAACTAACAACAACAACAAGCCTTTGCGCTCTGAAACTACGGGGCGGCCGAGGACAAATACACATGCATTAAATCGCACGTTAAAATAATTAGTGGCGTTAAAAAAATTGCGTTAACTTGACAGCCCTAATTATGATTATTGATGCATTACTGTGTACATCACAACAGTGTTGCACTTTGTAAAGGTGGGGTTTCATTTAATACTTTTTATTCTGCTGGCTAGCCTAACCTGAATCTGCTAAGATACTCAAGCTGGAAAATAAATGTAGTGGAGTGTTTACAGAGTTTACAAAATGAAGTAGGTAAAAGTACAGTAAATGTCCTTATTCCACTACTGTGTAATGATAAAGTATAGTAATGTCTATCTGTGCAGAGAGTGAAGTTACTCTTCTCTTTTGTGTCATAATCCGAGTTTCTGTGTGCATGTTATTGAAAGCAGACAAATGTTTGACTTGATCCTATCACTATGGAGTAAATGTTACTTGCACGCGGTCAGAACACTGACACCACCGGCGTTTAGACCTTTTTGTTCCTTTGAATGAGAATGGGCTCAACTCACTTCTGCCACATCTGGAAGGCCACGGGACTGAAAGGAATCGTGAGAGTTGCAGTCCAGGAGGCTGGGTCCGAGCAGAGCCGTGCCGCTGGAGGGGCCGGAGGGGGTGAGGGTGGTCCGCTTGCCCTTATCAGGAGAGACCATGCTGGCTGCGAGGAGGAGAGACAGAGTGAAGGACACAGGAAACAAAGTCAGCTTTATGGGATGTCGCTGCAAGAGGAAGTCTATCACTAGGGCGCTGTGATTGTGCATTAATAAGAGAATGAAAGTGGGAAGGCACAAAGTGTTCTTTGTTAAGGGTACTGTGTAACTTTATTGTTTTTTAGTTATGTGTCTGATATTAAAGCTAGTATCTATTGTTTAACAGCCACACAGTTAGAACATGTTTTCAGCCTTGGACGTTTTTTATACCAGACAAAATGTATCCCAAATAAACCTCTTACAATTCCAACCCCTTTTTCTCTACGGGTTAGTAAACAGGCGATGTTCAGGGGGAGATAATAGGCCACATAGAAGTGGTGTTTATCGTCTAAATACTGGTACACTCAAGATTATAATAATGGCAATTTCCATGCTCTATTATATCTCATAAGTTGTGTTCCTTTGCTACTCAATTTATAAAAAGGATTGAGTTTCTTACCACAAATACCACATTAAAACGGCAAGACTACAAAGCTTTTGCCCCCAAAATTCATATATTTTAAGAGGTTAATACGCTTATTATAGAGCGGTTTAGTCGAATTGATATTGACACAAAGGCAGTTGCAGTCTGTAGGGTTCTTAATGTTCAGCTTTTCTGTCCAAGGCTTAAAGTTGAATCTGTAGTATCATCTCTTTGGACAGGAAACAAAGAAGATCTGTAAAGCATAGGCTAATGTTTGTCTTCATTTGAGAGAGAGAAAGACTCACAGAGGAGGCATCCCAGCGTGGAGTCAGACGAGTCGCTGGGGTACCACTGGGGGTCGTGGCTGGGCGATGGGATCCAGCCTCTGGACGGGCTGACGGAGGGGGACGACGACAACAGTTTGGAGCCGTCGTTGTTGCTCAGCTTAGCGGGAGAGAGGCCGGCCTCCTCGCCTGCAGCAGAACAGGCAAAACAGCCATTAGATTACGCACACAATGTCAAACAAACCAAGCGTCTCGGGGGGAAAAAACCAATTCTCACTTCTGTACAAATTACTTTGAATGGTTTGGCTAATTTGGAGCCAATGCAGTAGCACTTAAAATGGTTTGGCTCATTACAAACGTATGCACTTACAGGATTATTGCTTGTTTTGGGTTTGTATCCCCATGGTTAAATGCACTTATTATAAGTCGCTTTGGATAACCGTGTGAGCTAAATCAAATGTAATGTGGAAACACACCTGCACCGTAGTGGGCCGAGTTGATGGCGAGCTCGATGAGGGAGTCGCTGATGTGTGTGTGAGATTCTCCAGGAGTCTCTTCAGGGGGACCGGGGAGAGAGATGTCCAGCAGCGAGGCCACGCTGGGGGGAGCGAGGAGAGAGTCCGCACCCCCGCTCGCTCTGGGGGAAGGTGAGAGATGACCATTCTGTGAAAAGAAAAGACAGTTTATTAGATTTTCTAAGGTTTTATTTCCTGAAAAGATTTGTTTTTCAGCTGCCTGTTGTCATGTGCTTGTGTTTTCTACCCAGCTGGCCAGGCTTGGATGCAATAACATGACTCTTCCCTGTTGTTTCTTTCACTTATACTTATTTCTTGCCCCTATCATTGTAAATAAGGTCTGCACAAGTCCCTGCTCTTAAGTAGTATTTCTTCCTCCGCTTCCAGAGCCTTGTAGGTTATACTTTCTGTGATCTGAATTCATATTGAGTTGGAAAAATGCAGTCCCAAATGTAACCAGCATTGCTCTGTCAAACAGCATGAGAACCAATGAATCCATCTCATGTCAGTTTTAGTGCTATATATTTATAATTTACACTATTAACTACTATAAATAGGCATGAGTACTCAATATGAATGTCAGTATTCTTTCAACATAAAGCTTTCAAATCTTTCTTGCTGATAGTTGTTGAGAAGGAACAACATATAAGATGGAAATAACTTAAAGGGGACCTATCATGCAAAATGCACTTTTTGATGTCTTTTTTACATAAATATGTGTCCCCGGTGTGTCCTCCGTACCCAAATCTCTAAAAACGGGGGTACAACGGAGCTGATCCAAATTTGCGTCCGATATGACGTAATATCGGAAATGTAGGCTGGCTTTACACCCACGGCCCTATCAGAAACGTTGCTATCAGAAACAATGCCCGACTGTTTTGGACGTAATATGCTCGGTGCATGTTTACATTAGCATCGCTAACACTCAGAGCTAACCGGTACTGCACAGAGTATGTGTGTGAAGAAGCAGGAAATAAAAAGGAACTGACCTTGTGGTATAACCGGCAAGAGAGAAAGCCTTTGAGCTCCAAACTGTTTCAGAGATAATCCTTGATAATCCATGATATGGCGTTTCATCACGGCAGTAGTTAGTTTAGACAGTAGCTGCCGGGTCCCGCATGAGCTCAGCCCCCTCCTTTTTTATCAATTTTTTTTTTTAAAGCTTTATACCCCAAATCAGCACTTTTGAAACAGGAAGTGAAATAGAGATTTATGAGGCATGGCTAGAATGGGTGATCTGTTTGGTATTTTGAGCAAAACACTTCATAGACATGTTTTTTATATATTTTTATATATCTGAGACCTATGCTATTGCCTAAAAATAGCATGATAGGTCACCTTTAAAATATCCATCCCTAATAACTACTGAGATATGTGCAACAAAGCATAGATATGAAGGTGAGGAGGAGACATGAGACCGAAGAGGAAGGTATGTGAAGACACAAAGTGAAGCAACGCTCCCAGGCTGTATCAGTGTGTGTGTTAGTGTGTGTTGCTGACCTCTGGGACATTGTGCTGGAGGAGTTGAGGTCCAGGTTCAGCATCAACAGAGGGTGTGGAGTTGAGCAGGGCGGTATGAGCAGTGAGAGAATCCGGCTCTCTGCAGGGACTGCCGGGGATGATACCTGCCGACTTGGCTGCCAGGTCAATGGCACCTGAAAGAGAATTAAGAGTTATACCAGGGATCTGTCACATCAGTAGATCCATGATGAGTATTAACAGTAACTGATCATGTAATGACGGTTGCAAAAAATTAAACCTAAGCAACAGTGCAGTATAAAAATGGAAAGCAGGAAAAGTGAACATCTTTCAAAGAGTATTTGTTCAAAACCATATTGGCTCTGTGGGATCATGAGGGAGTAAAGAATTGTTTATATACTTTGAAACTGAATCTCTATTTTGTATACAAATCCAGAGAATTCAGGGATCAGTGTCTTACATTTAAATAACTGTAAATAGTTTTACAAAAGCTTGATTTGACAAAGAAAGAAAACCATTTCAAAAGATAATTTTTGGTGGTGTATAACAAACGTAACTTTGATTATGAGATAGCACTTTGTTTATCCAAACTTTAAAATCCTGACTGTCTTATTTTTTAAGTTCAAACATTTTTAATTCACTTTAAGAGGTTTTATTTTTGTTATATTTTGTTTGTGTAGGCTTCCTGAGTAGTAAATGAGCCATTTTCTCAAATAAAAGACAATTAAAAGGAGTAATAAGACAAAACATATCTATGACTAATACTGTTTTCTTACTGGAGGATGAAGGATAACAAGAGGAGGTAAACTAATGCTCAAATGTCAACAGTATAACATAACTCAAACTACATCACGCATTTAGTTTAAACACTAAAAAGAGAAAAACAGATATATATAAAATGAGAGCAGGGCGTACTGGAGAGCTGGCTGGCGGCTGCTGAGCTGGACGCTGACGGGGAAGCTTTGGACTGGAGGGGGCGGGAGGAAGGAGCCAGGCGAGTGTGGATTGGCCGGAAAGATCCAGTTCCTGAGGGAAGAAACAGGAAGTGAGAGAACAAGAGATTAGCAGGGTTGTTGTTGAAAAAGAGAAATTACATTTAGTTAGTACAAAGAGAACACTAGCTAAGTGTATTATTAACATTTATACATAATTAAGCCTGTTTTAGGTCCTACTTTGAATGAACGGTTTACTTTTGCTGACAGGAAATTGTACTGTAGTGTCGTGATGTGTGAAGAGTACCTGTGGCAGAGGAGTTGGAGAGGATGGAGAAGGAGCAGACGTGCTGCGGAGTGTCTCCAGTAGTTCGGGGTAGGAGTGTTCGCTGTGGAAGAGAGAGAAGCAACTGAACTACATGCAGAGTTTAACGCAGCACAGAGAAGCATTATAGGACATTTTACTGGTACAAACATTTCCTTATTCCGTAAATGATAAAATTCCCAATCCAAACCCCACCATCGCCTACTGTTCATGGATATTTTGAGGTTATTTCTCACACAAACATTTAAAACGTTTTGCCATGATCTCTTTTGACGAGATTCACACTAACGCATTTTTTTTTTTAAAAAGGCATATGGTTTGCTGTGTGTACAAACTGCGATTTTTTAAAACTTTTATGGCTTTTTCAACTTTATCTGATCGATGAAAATATATATATATATAAAAAAAGTGAGAGTGATATAACTTCCAACATAGGTACAAGGCTGGAATCAAACCTGGGATGTTGTGGTTTTTAGGCATATGCTATAACCACTGTGATAAAAAACGAGTTGACCCAGTTTCATTGTTTTTTTTTAAACGTTATAAATACACCCGTTTCCCTCTTACCTGAACTACAAGTGGTTTCCGAAGTTGCCTGTTTCGAGGTTTTCTTTGTCTTGAAAGGAAAATATCTGACTGCATCTGTAACAAAAACACGAAGAATTTTAACATCCGTGCGTGAGACATGGACGATCTAGTCTTTGTACAGTTGGTGTAAAATAATGCTGACTTTCTCCTTACACTGATAGAGTCGAGCTGCTGTTTGAGGGCGAGCTCGGCCTCCTTGTTGGGGGAGAACATTCTGTTGTGCCGTGAGCTGTTGGGGGGCAGCGTGGTGGGAACTGCAAACACGCCGCTTTCTGCCTCGCTGCCTGCTGTCGACCCCAGCAGAGAGCGGGGGAGGTTGCGTCCACCTTGAGAAGAGGAGAAGGTAAAATGTGTCATTTGAGGAGGTTAAATATAAAATAATACAACCCAGTCTCATGGCATTTCGTGTTATAGTCACGAAATTAATTTAATCTATTGATTCGTGTTCACCAACACGATTTCCGCATTTTTTTCGTGTCACACAGAATGATTTTAAAAGCAATGTATTTCTATTGGTAGTATGTTTCGTGCCTGCACCACGTCTTTTTGTCTGGTCGGGTCTTGGAAGACCAGAAGCTGTGTGGTTCATAAAAACATTTTCTTACTCAATATCTTACCCTAAGCCTAACCCTTTTATTTTAAATTGTATAATGTCGGAGTTTTTTTTTTTTTAAATGGGGCTCAGAGCCTCAGAATACTGAAATCTGTATTTCCTTCTAATTTGTTATTATTTGGTGCAGGCCTGAAACATACTACCAATAGAAATACATTGCTTCTAAAATCGTTCTGTGTCAGAATACTGAAATCTGTATTTTTTTAAATATCTTTTTCCTTCTAATTTGTTATTATTTAAATTGCTTTTAAAATCGTTCTGTGTGACACGAAAGAAATTGGTTTTGGTGAACAAGAATCAATAGATTAACTTCGTGACTATAACACGAAATGCCGTGAGACTGGGTTGAATAATAATGTATTAAGCCACTGAACAACATCCAGTGAGTAATATTATAAAAGAAACATTAGAGCAACTCCATAATACTTCATAATAATTACTTCAACAACAGCACAAACACACATTTTCAGTTAAGTCACCTGACATCAGTTGTATCAGCACTTACATTGTTGAAGAAACAAAGCTGATATGATACATCTTTCACTATAGTCTATATAAAGCTGCTGTGTTGTGTCTTTATGGGTAATCAGCTACACTGAATGCACAGTGAGAGCCTGTAGCCGTAGCTTTAGTTATGTGAAGAGTACCTGAGACTCCAGCGTTTGGCAGGTGCAGCCGGGCCCCTCGGAGAGAGGGCGGCTGCCGGCCGAAGCTGGGGCTGCGTACCCCTGCTAGGGGACCCTTCCCTGGGGGTGTTTGGGCCTGGTTCTGATCCTCCTGATGGTTCTTCAGAGGAGATGTGGGGCAGAGCTCTGGAGCCTGGAGGAGAAATGACATTATTGACACTGTCTGCTCAACATGTACATTTCAAATGTTATGTTATTTGTTCAGTAAAGTTTAAGGGTGGCACAGAGCATAGTTTACCATTTTACAATGACAAAATTCACACGTTACATTCGTTACATTCGTTACATTGTGCAAATACAAAGTTACAGAATATGTAACGTTTTACATTTAATTGGGTTTACCCTTTATCTATCTTGAAAGGACTTTTTGTGGATGAATTCATTGGCAATGCAAAAAAATAAAAAACGAATATAAAACAATTATTATTTAAAGTTGCATTTGTCTTTCATGCCACTGTGATGCATTAAATCAAAGTCCATGTTTGACTGTAAAACTCCTAATTTAAAAAGTCTGCACAGATAATTAAGACACTCAGAAGTTTTAGCAACCACCACAGGTATTGTAAGAAGTAACAGTGAATCCCTACCAATGGTTTAGGATTGACCTCAGTTGCGACCAGTTTGAGCAGGCAGCGCAGGACCCGCTGTGTCCTGTTGGGCTTCAGCTGACCCGAAGCTTGTCCATTTTCCTGGTTGCTGAAAGGAGTGCCGATGGGCTGCCACTCGTACTCCAGCTGCAGCTTGCCAGGCTTCCCGAACATCAGGTAGAGCTCGGCCAGAGTCACGTTCTCTGCGTCGCGGGCGCTCCAGCCCTCGCCTCTGATCTGCTCCACAGCTCGCTCTTTGGATCCCTGCAACATTCCCTCTTCCGAGCACGGATTCTTTCCCGGTGGCGTCTGGTTAGCTTCTGGGGAAGACGTGCAGGTCATCGGCTCTTCTTCGCACTGACCCAATGAACTTTCTGTACCGCTACACAACTTATCCATGCTTTTAGTCCCTGCTAAACCACTACAAGCCTCCACACCAGTAGAGCTTCCCCCTTCCCACATCCCCTCTTCCCTTTGAGCCACAGTCTGCTGCGAGGAGGCAGTCATAGTCTTCTCCTCTACCTTTGGAGAACAGTCTTGTGAAGGCTCTGGGTTAAGAGGCTCAGTTCGTCGACCATCACCCGATCCAGCAGCGACACCGCTTCCCCGCCCAGATTTAGCACCAGTCCGAAGTGGTTGGGCCGTGTGAATACCCAGAATCTGAGCAGCCGGCAGCTCCTTGGCGTTCGGCCGGGTCTTGCCACTTTCCAGCCAGTGTACAGTGCAGGAGGCCTTGGAGTGGACCACACGAGCCACACCGGGCAGCGTGGTCAGAGTGCTGCTCTCAGCGGGGTAGAGGAAGAGCTCTTCCTGCTGGGATTTACCGGAAGAGGCTGTGCCGGACTGGCCGCCCTCCAGAGCCTCCCTCTCCATCAGACTCTTGAGCTGAAGCGTCGGGGTCAAGGACTCAAGACATCACTGATGGACAAAACAATCTTTAAAAAAAAAAACACATATGCAATCGATACTTCTGTACGAGGTTGCAAACAAACTGAGGTTTTGAAAGGATACGATCCGCTGGTCGTGATACGTCCACTTCTGTTTCAGATACTCTATGAGGCTGGAGACTTTCCTGTGGAGCTCCACCACCATCCTGCGTTTGAGAAAATACAAAATAGATAATTGTTAGTTTACAATCTGCTGTGGTGCTGGATATCACTGCCGAGTAATGTAGTTGTAATGCTCATAATATATTAAGACCTTTTATGTCCCAGACTACATTTATTCTCATAGATATCATTAATATGACCATTTATCTGGACAATAAAAAAAGACACTATACATTTATTATTAGGAATTATTTGGACCATTTTCCAAAGCACATACTTATATAAAGTTTTAAATTGTTGTTTTGGTCAATCTCGTGTAGTCATGTGGTGCTCGTTGCTTGATGTTGCATCCATGCAATGCCAACATCTAAAAACTGGCATTCATCTGCCTTAAAGGCGTTGTATAACTGAACAATGGCAAATGATTGTGAAAATGTATTTTCTTACATTAAAATCTATTTCACTCAAGTGTCAGAGCACTCTGAAGACACTCAGTGTCGAGGAGAGAGTTTTGAAAACTGTTTCTGCTTGACACATTGTTATACCTTGACAATAACAAAGAAAAGTTGACTAAAAGTTCCTGAAAGGATCTGCTTGCTGTACAAAATAAATACATTTAACGTTCTGCTTGTAAGATAATTATTAGGGATGCTCCGATCGATCGGCCGCCGATGTATATCGGCCGATATTCACTCTCTGCCGATCGATTGGTGCTCTCTAAAAATGCCGATCGCGAGAGCCGATCGCATGACGTAAAATACATGACACTTTTCTCTGTGCGCGGCAAAACAAGCTCGCCAAAATGGCTTCACCGGTCTGGCAGTATTTTAAGTGTCCGAAAATGACAATAAAATAGCGGTATGCAATGTGTGTGTGAAGCAGAAATCCTGCAGCTCCACCCGCCGTGACGGACCGGTGAGCGGAGCAAAACACACACTAAGAGTTAGACCTAACACACTTAGCTACTTTATCTACCTCTGGAACAAGCTAAACTAGTTATAAATATATTTATTCTTCACTGTCGGGTCACTCATTACTGGATCAGTGAGCTGCAGGAGATACTGACAGGCTGTCAGGAGAGAGAGAGGAAAAGAGAGCGCTTCCGCTTCTCCCGTGTTATTATCCAAAGTTAATGTAAACTTGAATAATGTACTTCATTTGAATGTAATAATTATGTTGGTTGTTGTTTGTGGAAGCGCCAGTGAATGAGCCCCATTAACTGAGTTTTGAACATCACTTTAAACATCACTTTAAATGGAAGATCCCCATAGGCCCCACCCACTCGATCGGATCGGCGATCGGTATCGGCCGATACTGATTCCGGCGATCGGCCCCAAAATTGGCGATCGGAGCATCCCTAATAATTATTAAGGAAATTGTGATTGTGTTTGTAGATAACAACTCCTCTCAGACATTAGTTAACAACATGGCTGACCTGAGGCGGGGGTTGTGGGCGAGGGTCTGAACGTGAGCCCAGGAGTGGTTACTGCGCGGCTGGAGCTCCACTGCCACCTTCAGGGGGAGACGCACCGGCTTCTGGTCCTCCTCATCGCTAACTCCTGCAGGGACACAAAGACAGTGTCAATGAGAAACACTCACAAAGAAGCAAAGCCATTATGGTATTTACTGCAGACAAGGACTGATGCCTAGGTAGAGAGATCTTATAAGGAACTTAACGTAACCGAACCTAAAGCACGACTTGAACAGTACAATACAGAGCTGAGTGCAATTTATATAATTTGATAAAAAAGGGTTGAATTATCTTGTAAACTTTCATGCTAGCATGCAACTACAATACAGTAGCCAAAGTCAGTGGAACAGAAGAGGAAACCGAACACAACAGGACGAGACCCCATGCCAAGATTTTTTGCAAAACACTGATACAGCACCGAAGGTAAACATGAATAAAAAGGGGAAACATGGCAGATGCAAGTGTTGGGATTTTAATATTTCCTCCTTGGTTAAAGCATATGTTTTCTGTACGTTTGGTGAGGGGCGCATGCCAGTCAGTTTGACCAGTGAGCTCCATCATCTCCATCCTGCCTCTCCTCCTCACTTTGCTGCCACAGAGTTACCATGGAAACGCCAGTAACCCACGCTTTGCATTTGTTATTGCTAAAAACCCCGCCCCCACAAACCCTATGTCTCACCATCACCATGGTTTTTATTTTATTCCACACTGATGTTTGTTTACTTAGTATGTATAGAGTGTGGTGGGTGTCACATGCTCACCGTCTGGGTCACAGAGTTTCTTCAGGGCTCGGCACATCGGCGCTTTGATTCGTAAGTTCCTCCCTTTGGAGCGCACCGTGGTGGCCCTGATCGAAGAGAGAGGACAGCAGTGAGTGAGGATAGCTTTTATGGATCACATGCACTACAGAATAAGCTATATTACCATTAAATAACATTAGTACAGCACAGTAGGTACATTATACAATATCAAACAATGTGTAAAAAATTGTCTTTTATGTATGAGTCAGTGATAATAGTAGTCTGATATTACAAGTGTTCCTGCTGCTAATGCAAATGACTTGTATTTGACACATGACACTGTGACCTGATACTGAGGGTGAGAACTTATATGTGTCTTTGCAGATGTGATATAGTACTTTAAATGAAAAACTACATACGTGACAGTCCCGGATATGTGCATGAAAACACAGCCTTTGTTTTTTAACATTAAAATATGTGTGTGTGGAAATGCATTTTGTTCTAATTTTACTACCCACTTACCCTTGCTGGATTAATTCGTTCAGCTTTGCCACGTTCTTATCGTCCATCACTGTCAAAGACAAAACACAGAGCTGTTGTTTTGACACGGTCTCACAGGAGCAGCTGTCCCCCGTGACCGGGAGGGTGCAGCGCTTAATCACATCCCTGATGTACCAATCTAACAGCTGACAAACACAGGCGCACAAAACAACTTTGCATTCATGTTAGTAAAGCATTCACTTACACCCTCCAACTTTCTTGCGGAGCTCGGCGTAGCAGATGAGGCCGTACAGTTCTTGGGAGGATTTCTTCAGCACTCTGGAGTACGCTGAGAAGGAAAGAAGGAGGTTAACACAACAGCGGCTCCAGTTTATCTGAGAATGTGTTTTTCAAGTATCTTTTGGGACAGTCTCCATGTCTAACAAAATGCTTTATAAATATCAACATGGAAATTGTGAAACAACTAAATAAAAAGCTTCTTTTTTTTTTGCCTGGAATATATTAAATATATGACTAAAAATAAGTATTCCCGTCATGACACACGGAGTGACTAATATAATCTAAAGCCCATGAACACACACATTACCATGTTAACTTTTCCAACTGAAATATCATATTAATAAAGACAAGTTGATCAATTGTGTGTTATTTACCATTTTTAATTTGTATCTTTGATTTAATCCTTAATTGTATTCATCTGTGTGAATCTGTGCTGTCCTGTTTTTCCATCTTACCCTGTTGCTGTTAAACTACTGAATATCCCCACGGGGATTAATAAAGGTCCATCTTATCTCATCTTAATATCGTTAAAAAAAAAAGGTTACAGGTGGAGCTACAACTCTAAAAAAGATGTTCTACCCTTCAACTTTCACAGGTCCCACTCTTCTTTTGAGTGAAACAGATAAAGAGCTGCTCACCAGTTGCAAAGTCGATGTGTTTGGAGATCTTGTGCCAGGTCCGGTAGTAAAAGTGTCGAACCTGCTCCTTGTTCTTCACCATGTTGGCTGGCTTGCCTCTTTTCTTGTATTTCATTGCGATGTTGTTCTGGATAGCCTCAAAATCCTTCCCATGCTGGAGAGAAGAGTAGTTAAGAGGTCAGTAATCTCTCTGCACTTTAAGTTGTGCAACATAAGTTAGTACCCATTTTTGTTCTGTGACAATGTTTTGGTTCAGCCCTTTACCTCGTAGAGTCCCTCAAAAAAGCTGTTTTTGTCCTCTGTGCTCCAGGACTCCCACTGCCGCCTGGCCCTCTTCTGGTTGCCAGCCTGCTCCTCCTTCTCAGCAGACCCTTGGCCCTTGGAGGCTTTCGACACTCCCCCTGTGGAGCCGGCCACTGGCCCCGACTGTCCCACTGCCCCCTGGGAGGAAGAGCCGTTCTCCGCCCCTGTGTTACGCAGAGACGGGAGCCAACACATAAATCAGTCGTGAAGCATTCAGAGAAAAAAAAACACAACTTCTATACCACAATAAAAGATGTAAGAATTTCGTCAATTTCGTGACATTTTTTGCATGGCAAGGAAAGAAAAATGAAAAAGTATTTTGTGGTTTGGGAGATGTTAAAACAGATTCACACAAAGCCACACACTGCCCTTCCACTGCACAAGCTGTAGAGCTCCCCCTTCTGGGGTTCGGCTCTGGCAAGGAGGCAGGAAAAACAATCAGTCCCTACAGCCAGGTCCACAGGACACAGGTCCAAAACCAACTCCTGACGGCCCCAGAGTTAACCCCAGCTCACAGCACAACGCCAGAGGCATTAACACAAAGTAGGGCTGCACGATATTGGAAAAAACTGACATTGCGATATTTTCTTCCCCTGCGATATATATTGCGATATGAAAAAATACAGGAATTGAAGAAAAGACCGTTTTTTTCCCCACAAACCATCCTTTCTTGAACTTTAATGCTATACAATTGGTATTTTTTTAACAATATTTAACCAGATGAAGGATTTTAGTCAAGGACTTCTGGATCTTAAGTTATCAGAGCAACAAGCTGAGCTAGCTCGGTTATCCTGCTGTGATCTGATCAAGAATGATTGTGATTGGTGGTTTGCTGTGCATGCAGAGCCTGCATGTCACTCACTCAAGTACCCCTGACATGAGAGCCGCGCGAGTTTTCCTTTTGTAGCAAGCAGTAAAATAATTGTAACATGACGTGTTTGAGTTAATTTGCCTACTTAATCTCGCACGTCCTAAAAAAAAATATATATATATAGGATATAATATATATATATATATATTAATCGTGCAGCCCTAACACAAAGTCAGTTGCTTTGAAGCACTGGACTATTTTGAGACATACATCACAAAACGGGGTGTTTGTTCACAAATACAAATCGGTGTCAGGGTCATATACACTATCCTAAAAGTGTCTCTCTTAAAATAGATATGCACCAATATATCATCATGTCAAAATAAGTAGGGCTTTCTTAGTAAACTGGTCATCACTCTAAATATACATTTGATGAAACCATCACAGTGTGCTTCTCTTTCCAACAACAACAAAGGAAATCCATCCGTCAGGGCACACCGACTCAAATGTTCTCTGATACGAGTTCAATTACTTTTTGCCATATTTAAGAAAGAAATACTGCGTGCTGTCAATACAGAGCAGCATAACAATACACACTGGAACAAGGCTGTAATAATTCCTCTCAAGTCTGGGAAACATAAAATCTAAATCTTCTAATAACGAAGAAGCTGGTTTTTATTTGGTGTGATTGCACTATAAAACAGTTTTTTTCAATTGTCAGATTTTCAACATCCATATAGCTGTAAGTCTGTAACATAAGGGACATGCCACACCCCACTGATAAACTTTGCGTAAGTGTTTCTCATGATTTGTGATCACTAATCAACGAGCCAAATCCTTTGGTGTGTTTAAGAGGCAGTTAAGCCTGAGGGCCTCAAGTAATGTTATTTTCAGATTTGCTAACATGACAATGCTCCACTCGCATTGTTAAAAAAATGTTAAGTGCAATAAATTGATACTGCTCTTTTCTCCTTTTGCTTAAAATAAAATGTTGAGCAACTGTCTATATATAACAATACTCTATAATAATGCTTATCTCCTGCCCTGCTTTAATTCCCCTGCAGAAAGACTGAAGTATTTGTTTGTTTGTTCTTCACTCACTTGATAATGACAGTCATAAAAGCCCTGGTTTCTAAAGCCATAATGTCACGTTTCTAAACGAATTGTAACAGAGTAGTCAGATCTTAATCAAAACTTAAGTTGTGATCCTTCATGTTCCTCATTTTCACAGGATGGAATTGCAACTCGGGTCGAAGCAGCCTAAACAAATCTACCCAGAGTTCAACCCAGGCTGTGGCTGAGGGAGTTTACACACAGCAACAAAAACATCACTTTAGCCATCACTGATAATAATAAACAAACAATGACAGCAAAGGGCAGACCCCCGCTGATAATCCCACCTTTAAACACTTTTTCCCCTGAGCTGGACAAATTAAGTACCTTTGGATTTTGCCCCGCCGTGTCCATTGATGGTGGAGCCGATTGAATCTTTCCGGATGCGTTTGCTCGGAGGTCGGACGCTTGATCGGAGAAAATGATGCTGGTCGTGACAAGGAGGGGTGGGATCCGCTGAGGTCTGGGACTGCTCGGTACAGCCAAGCCCGGCTCGGTTCGGTGGAGAGGCGGGCAGCACCGGAGCTGGACCGGGGCTGAGAGCCGGGGCTGATGGATTAAGGATCTCCTCTCCGTCGTCTCCCTTTGTACTGCGCTCCTCGCTCGCCTGCTCTCCGCTCTCCTCCTCGTCGCAACCTTCGGGCTTTCTGGACGGATTCCTCCTCCCATCGACACCGATCCCCTCCCTGGAGCCCAGTGTCATGCTGCCAGAACACAATCAGTGAAAAATTGTCACATTAGGAGCAAAGCAGTGTGCAAAATTAACTTCTAAAGACGACGTTTACTGTCTCTCAACATGGCCGCCGCTGTTTGTTTCAAATCCCCTCTCCAGTCCCGACAAAACAACACCAAATATATGCATTAAACGTCTTCTTATAAATTATATTCAACAATTAAAACAGTTTAGTAACTGCTTGTGGTGTTTTACCGAGTGTCTCTCGGCTCAAATGGACAATATTTCAGGTTGAATTTCAACTAAATTCAAATGCGAGCGCTTTTCAGTTTAGCGCCCTGCAGAAACGACAACGAAACCCCTCCGTGCATTCGACCTCTAAATAAAGTGTTTATTTTAGACAGAATTTTACCCATTTTCGTGCTCTTCGCTAGTAGGCGACGTCTTCTTTCTCTTCACCATGAGTCCGACCGGTTAGATTGGAAAATGCTGATCAAATTTAGCATAATAAAACCGAGAGCGATCTCTACGCTTTCTGCCCTCTCCTTGCTCCTGCTTCGACTGAACTGAACTCTCTGCGCAGTTCAACTGTTTTCCATCAGTAACAACATTTCTCAATTTTCTTTACAACAAGAAGTCAAATTAGAAAACCACTGGCAAAAAGCATGCATTTAAAGCGTACATTGAAGAAGAATTTACTGTAGCATGTCATAGAAGAGATTGGTACGCATAGATAGCTGTATTAACCTGTGCGCAAGTGGACTTTGCTTGACACTACGTCACCATCGCCTGAAATCATGTCTGCAAAACTATTTATTTGTATATACATATTGAAAATGTAAGGCTTTGTGTCAACCCTATATTTGCTAAGGTTAGTAACGCCTTATGCATGTACTTTATTCTATGTCGAGGCAGGACAGGCTTGTTGTGGCAGTTGCACATCAATACCTAGTGTATTACATTGTCTTATTTTGTTATAATGTGTGAACATGACTAGTAATTTGTAATATTCCTGTCATGCTCGAATGGAGACCATCAATCTATACATTTCTGAATAGTCGGGAGTATGTGAAGGCAGAGGATTGCAGCAAGAGAAAGCTGCAGAAAGAAATATGAATTGATGATATGAGAAGTTTCTGTATGAAAATGACTGGGCCCTTGCCTACATTCCTACACAGATTTTTAAATTCCTGTTTTGTGTCACCTAAAAGCAAAATCTCAATTTCTATCACCCACAAGATATAACACATCTGACAGCAGAGAGGGTCCTAAACTACTAAATTCGTTTTTACTTGAGCTCATTGGAATCTCACAACTACAATTGAATGCAACGGTTTTAGTTTATACTTAATCTCAAAGTATGGTTTCGCCATAGGTTCAGGTTGATCCCAAATCTTACAGCATTGTACTTAATTAACAGTTTCATTACATATTGCATCTTCAAAGTTAGATTCATCAGCCTGGTGTTTACAGTCCTCTGCTCTGGTGTTATACTAAAAGGTTGACAACTACACGCTAAGTGCACGGTGTTAAAAGTTAACAAATGACACGTTTCTATACAAACAGTTTCCGTTTACATCGGCTTTATAAGCTATATAACATGCATACAAGAGTTTCCTCCATTCATAACGTGGTACCTAGCATGGCTGCTGTTGTTGGATAGCTAACGCTAACGCTGTGGCAGCCCAACAAGCCCTAACGCTGCAAAACATGCTTGTAACATAATGCTTACTATACGTAGGAGCTCAAACAGTTTGTTAGAAAGATAACACTTATAAAGGTTAAGGAATTACCTGAAGTTGAAGCCTGTCGATGGTGTTATTAGTCAAGAAAAAGGCTAGCATTGCTAGCTAACGGCAGCCGTCCAGCTGGTCCAGCTTGTTGCGGATGACAGTTCCTGCGGTTCGACTGCACACGCGTTTAGACACGCCCACTACAACTCAAAAACAAATGCTGTGATTGGTCAGAGATACACGAGGACGACGGTTAGGATTTGATTGACAGACTGCTCAGCCAATTGTGACTGAGAGAAACTCTGCAATGGACCAATCGTCACTCTCTTCCTGTCATGTCTCAACAATGTGTTTTTCAATCTAAAGGCATTTTGACAATTTAATGATCGAATCCCTTTTCAAAAGCAAAACGTAATTTCAACGAGATTAAATCCCCGCAGAGTAAATATTCAGCACAGTAAAAAGATGTTCCACCCAGAAAGTGATTGACATTGTGAGGATCAAATCCATAGGCGAAACTCAGATGATGCACTTGCAATTAACCCTGGCGTACACCGGAAATCACCCGGCAAAGCCATTTTAACATGGTTATAACTACAAAGCACCATTTTACGTCACACAAATTACATTAATTCAATGATATATGCACTTTCATTTTGTCAAATTAGTCAGAATCATCCCACACTGCCATTGTTCAGATCAGGTGCCCTAATGTCACAAAACAAGCGTGCTATATGGAGTTTTTACACGGTTGTGCCTGTTTAATCGCTCTGTTACCGACAAGCAGGTCGGAATTTGCCGTTCATTTTTTACTATGAATGAAATATCACTAATCATAATACAACCGCTTCATTAATGTGGTTGCCAAGAACATTTTAGTTTCAAAACACTACGAGTTCAAAAGTCTACCTTTGCTGACGGGGTACCAGGGGACATGAAACGAGCGCACCACAGCACTCAGCAGATTGGCAGCTGACCAATCATATTCCTCTACGTCACAGCTGGGCGGACTGAAAGGCTTCACTCCGGAATTTGTTTGGGGACGCGCAGACAGGGAGAAGTCGTCCAGTTGGCAAACTGACGAAGAAGTATTTGGAAACTAGAAGGCTCAAAAACAAAACCACTATGACTTCGACCAACATGTTTCAAGGGTTGTCTGCAAAAAACAGTTCAAGGTGAATATAATAGTCGTGTAACTGGCCGACAATGTTTTATTTTGAGCTTAGGCTAGGTCAGCTAACATCTGAATGTAGGTTAACGGTGTGGGTCAGGGGAAATCACATTTTCGGCTTATTCAATTTTTCTTGACGTCAGGCATGTGATATTTATGTAAGACAAACATGTGTGTTGGTGCGCATTAAGAGTTAGCTTGGTTTGAGTTAGCTTGCGTTAGCACACAGTCAAGCGTTAGCTTCTAAGCTAACCGGCCAGGCGTTGCCTGCCTGCTGCGCCTGCGGAAGTGTAAAGCCTCTTCAGAATGATCTTCTTTGTACTCGCCAACAACGGCGTTGTGTGGCCACATTGTTCCAGAGGAGACAACGTTTCCTCTTACTTACTTGAATGCGTCAGTTCTTGTTTCGCCTCAGTTTAACAGTCTAGTTCACTAATGTTTTGGCTTTTAATAACGGGGAAAGTAGAGCATCAATTCTTACACACTAGAGTTTCAGACGTATGGCGCCACTCTCAGTATATAATCAGATAACCTGTCATTTGACTGCGTGGGCACAAGCTGTCCTATGTACTGTGACATATTATAGTCGGGTTACTTACTGTTTTCTACTGGTGCTCTTTGTGTGTCAGATTGCAAAAATGCCCACATTTTTTCAACAGTAATCGATAAACATGAACCTCTATGAAATGTTGGAAAGTGCAACATCATTTGACAAATATCTGTTATTATTTAGTAAGATTAACTTACTGAGTCCTCACAACTATTCCATCTCTTCTATTTGTCTTTTGCCAGGTCATGCTTTTGCAGGGTAATTGATATAAATGAACCTGTGATGTACACATAAGGGATAGGATCGTTATAAGTGACAGTATAATCTGTAATGTCCTGCAGGGTGTTGCAGCCTCCTGGTGGCGGCTCCAGTAACCTCTTCGGTGGCTATGAAGAAGACACCCCATCTCCGAGGAGACCTAATAAGACGGCCTCTAAAGTGTTTGCCCCCCCAGAGGAGTCCCAGAGTGTATCTAGACGCTCCTATCCTCCAGGTAAGACCAGCCTGTCGGGGCTAATATATCTGCAGAGGAGGGCCAGTCATAACATCCATCAATGTGTCCAGGGTGTGAAAGCTGTTACTATGATGTGATAATTCCAGTATAAACGCTCTCACTGTTCTCTGTGCCTGGAAGTAATCCACCTCCAGATTTTCTGGAGTATCTGGTAAACGAAAGTATGTTTTCAGTCCAGTCTCCTGTTAGAAATGGTTTCCAGACCGGGACTGCTGAGTCACAGTGACTGCCTTATCTGCTTATTTTAAGTGTGGCTGGCATAAGCATCCCTTAAATGGTCAGTGAAATACTGCCACTGTACATTATACGACACTAGCATTTGTTCTCATGCATACATTGAATGATACTGAAGGTGACTGGTTTTGAAAAAGCTAAATTCAGATGTCAAAAATATGTATAAGTCCTATGCTGTTTATCATAGACTACATTCTGCCACGCACTACACCAAATGCAGTGTGGAGTGTGTCATGCTGTCACTGCTGCAGAACTTGACACTTATCTTGGTCATATGTAGGTGGGAAGAGCAGCGGAATATTTGGTGACCCTGACCCTCCGGCTCGGCAACAGAAGCATCCTCCTGGTGGACAGAGCAGCAACATATTCGGTGCTGCAGAGAGTCCATCTGGCCAGAACCAAGGCCACCCTAATAAACCAAAGGTAGGCCATGCTCCTTCATTTGAAATGCCGCTATTACTTGTTTTTTCTACTGTATTCCTTTTTAAGTTGCTGACTAGTTTACCAGATATTTCACCCCAACTAAAAATGTATTCTTTGTTGGTGTCACACACATAAGTGTACAAGTCTTCTCCACTGGCCCACAGTGTCTGTGCAGCCAGTGTTTTGTGAGCTTAGACTGCAGAGTCTACTGCGACAATCTCAGCATTGACAAAAATAAATTCCAAGCAGCTTCTTCTAGGTGTCACCTAATTTACCCGTTTCCTGTTGATATGTTGATGCTGTTTCCATACAGCTGTTAGCGCTAATCTCTGGAAACACATGCTGAGGTGTTTTATCATGCCATGGAAAATAGTCTACCTTATTGTGCATGGGTTATCTTGTAACGGAGCCTTAGGGAGGACTCATGGAAGTAGCACAGCTATATAGAATTTGAGGCCCAGCTTTAGCTTTACTCAATTTATTTAATTGAAAGAAAAATATTTGATCTTGATTTTATTTTTCAGGACAATCTAAGTGTGGTACCTGAACCTGAATCATCTCCAGGTGAGTTATACATAAAGAAAATGTGTCCATGTTTTTATTTTTGTATTATTATTTTCTTACATCGAGCCATCCTACTCATTGTAGGTTTGAAGGCACCCTTGCTGAAATGATTTTCTTATGCATATCAGAGAAACTACATCACATAGCCATGTCTTATTCTTTGGTTAATGTAATGTTTATTCTAAAGTTAGCACCCACTGGTTATACGTTAGAATCAATACCAACTGATTCCAGCGAGACTCTGGAAAGATGTGCTTCCTGTTATGTATCCCAGGAGGAAATAGCCGCTTATACTCTCAGGATATTATTCTGTTCTGGCATTTCTCTAAGACGCGTTCTTTTCCCTCTGCTAGTCCCAGAAGCCAAGGTCAGCCCACCTGAGGTGAAGGAGGCAGCGGCCCCCCCCCGCTCCGGTGCCAGTGAAGGAAGAGCCTGCTCCTGTCTCTGCCCCCCCGCCACCTGAACCCCAGCCCCCAGCTTCCTCCTCCTCCTCTTCCCCTTCCTTACCTGCTAAAGAATCGAAAGAGTCTGTTAATGAGAAGAACCACGAGCCCCACCTGGGACCGAAGCCTCGCTCTCACAACCGGGTCCTCAACCCCCCCGGAGGAAAGTCTAGTGTGGTATTCTACTGATGAGCTGAACCCACCCTCCTCCCTCTCCCTGTCCATACACTTATATTCTGTTCCTCTGTTAATCTCTCTCATTCCATCACCCCTCTCCCCACGGTTACTTCACCTGTACATCCAAACAGAGCAATCCTCTCTCCAGATATCATGTCCTCAACTTGTTGCACTTTCAGTTGTTTTGCTGGCTTCCAGCTTTTTGTCCAATTCTTCATATTCTTCCTAAATGAAACCTGCAACCATTCAATCAACAGTCTAGCCAAGACCTAATCACCTCCACAGTGACACTGTTCAATCTCATTAGTGCGGTTACTCTTTTCTGTGTTTTCTAAATGTAGTGTGATCATGGCATGGTTTTCATTTGGAAAACAGTTTAGCATCTCAAGAATGGGTAAGACATTGAAAGCTCGTACAATGTTCAGCTTTAAAGACGAAGATTCAATATTAATTGATGTAACCAAAATCTTTGCGTAAACATTTAAAGCAGACATTCGCCTAAATATCGGGGTTATGTTTTAATCCTGAAAGTGTCAGAGTTCGATCAGGAGGCGTTGACCAGACCACGCCAATTAAAAATGTTTCAGGGAGTTCCACTAGTGCCAACTTCTAATGGGTTGCCTTATTATTATATTTAGATGACAACATAAAACATTGTTTTGGCTTTACAAAATAATACGTGTTGAACTACAACTCATGCTTGTATAATCGTAGCCTTATTTTTGTTCAGAACTGTTTCATCTCTTCATTCTCAATATGTTATCATGTGTCCAACATTAAACACCTGCTGTCGGAGCACACATTCTGTTCAGGGATAGATGCCAAACAATTGACCTTAAAACCAAGATGGATGCTATTGTTTACTCCCAAATGTTTCTGCTTCCGTAAAGAAAATTCCATTTTGATTGTATGCGGATGTGTTGTGCAGGTACTTTTCTGCTTGGTCCTCATTGCTTGCTGTGAGAACATGCCTTTTTCAGCTTGGGGTAGGCCTCTGTTTATGTTTTAAATTAAAACGGCTGAACACAAGTGAACTCTGGACAATCGCGCGGCCTACCTGAGTCCAGGTGGGCTCAGTTATAATCTCCTCTTACCCACCTCATGATGCACATTCATGGTATTCTGGTGCCAGCCTGCCCCCAAGTGTTGATGTGCCTGGCAGGCAATGAGCACAGCAGAAGAAGAAATCCTGTGTATCGCAAATAAAACTGTTGTTTTGCATTTAAAGTTTGCCTATTTTGTTTACTTTCTGAGCTCGAAGACTTCTAATTGAAATGTAATAATGGCTAATTAAAAGGCGTACTAACTGAATTACAATGGTATGGAAATTATGTGCATAGCTTGTTGAATGTTTGCCTGGATAAGTGTACATGTGATATTTAAACTAAGCCTCATCTTATACATAAGTATATTCTTGAATCACTGATACCTTTGTCCAGATTTGCCTTTTGGCAGCACTGTGGAAACGGCTTGTTCTAAGACAGAAATGGCCCCTTTGTGTTTTACTAAATGCCCTGTAGGAAAATGTAGTTTTAGGTTTGAAACTACACATCTAAATCTGCAGTCCTTTTTTTCATTTCCTCCCTTAAGCAATAGACTAAGGACAGACAAATACAAAGTTTGTTCATGTGAGTACACACGTAGGAGTCCTATTTCTATGATGCTCTGCAGCCTTAAAGAAGGGAGATTCTTGAACACACATTTCCTGAAATGAAGGCCAGACTCAGCAGGCAGAACAAAAAAAGACTAACTTAAACATGATGTCAGCCTTGAAATTAAAATATCACGCTCCACATCCCATTGTGCTTACAATGGTGGGGAAGAATGACAATTCTGCCTGATTGTTGGACCATTGCGACCGGCATCTTAAGTAACTAAACACCTCTTTCACATGCAGCTTGTGTGTAAGAGCAACTCATGTTTGAATAAGGTATGATGACAACTGTAGGAAATTGCATAACTTCCTCAACCATTTTAACAATGCATTCGAGAGCAAGACGACAAACAACTCGTGTCTCAGTTGGCTGAACAACAGAATGGCATGTGGTGCATTTTAAGCTATAACAACATAAGACGAGTGATCTATACTAGACTAACCTGATTGTTATAAAGGCTGCTCAGGTCCTGGATCTGCTGTCAGTTTACCTCACTATGTATGCTAAGACTTTAAGATGTTTATGCTGATGTTGAGCATACTGTGAATCTTTGGCAGGAGGAAAACAGGAGCTGAGACATCCTAAATTCCTTGAGTCTAACCTCTGGCCAGCTTTTCTGAAGAAGTCCTGTAACGAAGCCACGTAGTGTGTTTCTCTCAGTTAGGACTATTGGGACATGTGCAAATGAAATGCAACTACATGTTATAAATGAGGAACTTACTATAATAGTTGACCAAGAAAATTCAGTAATAAGATAATAAGAAAACCAGATGCTTGTTTTTAGTTTCTCAACTCAAACAACTTTCATCCAAGTTCATGTAAGTTAACATGTGTTTTCTCTCCTTTTAGTGCAATACCAAGCAGTATTATGTCTGAACCTCAAACCACTTGTTGGTTTTAGAGGACCACCCAGCGTCTGCTGTAAGCCTCTGAAGGAAAAACTGATGAAAAGTGAAACGTGTACAAATTGTCAGTATTTCACTGCCACCTACTGAAGTGAATAAGAACAACTGAAGCTTTTGCATTTTCCATATTCCAGAGTGTTAAGTATTTACTATGTTTATATTTTGTTGCAGTTGGCTATAGTTTTTATGTATGCGGTAGTTAAGATGCATCAGGCTTCGGAGCTGCGGGCCTTTTCTCTACAGTTTTTATGCTTCATTGACCAGTTTTTGTCTCCATTGTTAACCCTCTCTACCGCAAACAATGGCCCAAGCTGCACTTGTCTGACTGAAAGAAAGTTCAAGAGGAAGATATTCTCCCTCAACTCCTCACCCTTTTTTGTATAGTCTGGGGGTGATTTCATACGTCCTTTGCTGTTCTATCTCTGGGGTCTTGAGGCTGTTACCTTACTTCTTATTTTAAGGCATTTCCTTCTTACCCGTTGATCATAATATTAATATTGTACAACCAGTGGCGTAACAAGGTTGTGATTGGCCCTGGTGCAAATATTGTTTTGGGGCCCCCCCCCATCGCCCCAAACATAAGCGCACGCTGATGCACTCACACACGCACGGACATACACTCTCTCTTGTCCTTTCTCTTTTGAGCGCCGCTCTTGTGCTTACATTATAAATGCAAACTATTACATTTAATGCTGCCGAACTTGCTGCTGCTAGCTACAGTACAGTACAGGTTGATTAAACGGTTCGCTCACCACGCAAGGTATCACATGACATGAAACTTTAAGGGAGCAAGGTCATTGGACAGACAAATTACAAATTAATTTAGGTTGCTTGGTTACTTTGAAGACTGCATGGGCCCCTGGCTGCACCGTCGATAGTTACGCCACTGTGTACAACAGTCTTCATTTGCAAATATTTTAAAGCCAGTATATATATTTTAGGCCAATGACCAAATGTAATGCACACACTTCAGAAGAAGATCCTTATCAGCCTTTTTGTGAGACACTTATTGCTATTATATTTGCTTTAAATTAATACGGCATGACAATTGCGTTACTCTTTCCATCTCTCTTGCAGAGTGAAGTGCATGATAAAGTTCTGACCATGGAAAGCTGAATTCTTACATCTTGTCTTGTCATTGGGAAAAAATATGGAGGTGAGTCCCTTTTCTGAGGATATTTTGAATTGTATTCAGATGGATGGGGAAACGGTGTTTCACTGAGGAGATATAATTAGTCCACTATCAGTCCAAACTGTCAGTTATTTTTAATTTGATATGCTCTCTCAGTTTCTTTATCTGCACTCTCCTAATATTTCTTATTTTACTGAAGTTAGTTGTAGATAATTTCAGTAGATTTCATATACATTTTTTGGCATTTGATGCCTTTTGAATGCAAGGTAGATTCTGACATGCTGCACTTTTGTCCCTATTTACTGCAGAACAAAATTAGAAATGACTTTGTATCAACAGAGCTGTTTCCTCTGGTATTAATACACATGCGTTTATAGCTAGTTCTCATATGCTGACCCCTTGAGACAAGATGTGCATAGCCTACTTAAGCAAAATCTTCAACACAGATGATTCATGAACTAGACGGGGGTTTTCTAACACCAGCTGAGCACTAATCCTTTGAAAACACAACTTTAAAATATTTTAAATAAAAAAGATACTTTGTGTTGCCAGTGTTAGGTTAAGAACAAATGTTTTAAATAGAGAGTGCATTGTCATTATTATTACGTAGCACCAGGTACTGCTGCGGTCTTTGGTAAAGTGGAATATGAAGACAACACCACTTCCGGTTTCAACTTCCAAATTAAACTACCGTCAAGCTGGGGACTGTAAAGCAGGCCTTCCATAGACAGGGTACTGAGGTCATGTCCTCAGTATTTCTATGAAAATGGGGTATTTATTTACTATTATGGGGAATAACAGTTAAAAATATATGTGAACAAATACATTCTAAAAATGTGTTGAAATGTTTTGTTTTTTTGGAGACTACTCATTAGAGACTAAACATGTAGGTATTGGGTTTAGTATTAAGCTGTAAGTAAATACAATAGGCTACTTGATCCTAAAGTTAGTCAGCTGAATGAAGGAGAGAGGATTGTATTAATGAAGCCTTCTTTCTAACTTACTCTTTTACTAACTTACTTAAGTAGCCTATTACTAGTCTTTGTATTAAATGTGTAGTCTCTAAACTGAGATGAACATGACAAAAACATCACATAATATCATCACATAACTGCAGAAAGCCACCACCAGAGCATAACCCTAACCCTAACCCATGTAGAGATGGGGAAAGAGAAGACACTTTTTTAATACCACAAGGGGAAAATCAGTTTTCATATAAATAAAGATACTCAAATGCACAGGTCGTATACACATTAGGCCTGAATACAAATAGAGTGCCACAGTGACAATCTCCACATGTCTACCCTATAGCCTACTATAGATTTATGATTAGAAAATTATAAAAGTAGGGTAGACATGTGGAGATTATCCGACTGAACAAAACGTGATCCGTCTCTCAAATGTGTGTCAACCACAGACCTTATTTAGAGCTATTCTCCAAAATTCTATGGAGAAATTGCATTGCTTTTTTGTCGAAGGAACCCATGCGCAGCTTACTTCCGGGTTTTAGGACGCGTCACTGTGGCACTCTATGCATGGATCAAAGAAGCTGCCATGTTTTATGGCTCCAGGGTTCGATGCCTTGCTTAAAGACAGCTTGGCAGTTCCTATGAGGTGAACTGGCACCTCTTCAGATACCAATCCACATTGTACCTTTATCGCTAGGTACTTAACCCGTTGACCCTTCTGTTCTCAAGACAAGTCTCTAAAGACTGACCTACCACTGCACCAATCAAAGTTGATTTTATATTTTGAATATCATTTTATTTTCCTTTATTAGATAAGATTAGATTACAATTGTATTGTCAATGCACAAAGTACAACACAATGCAGTTTGCATTCACCCAGAAAGTGCAAAGAGTAGGAAAGTGCATGAGCTTAGAATGAATATTATGTTTCTATCCCTATGTGCTTCTGGACTGCCTATGAACGGCCCGACGGGGAGAAAGCAATGTTTTGAATGTATTGGTCTCTATAATCGTCTTATTTTGAAAGCGTGAATCCGATTTCCGGTTCAGTCCCCCTGACTTGACGCACTTCGTCCGCTTGCTCAATGCAGACGGGGTGACGTCAGTCGGTCAGCTGGCTCCTGCATCTGAAGGCAGGAGAGCCTCTCCCATTGGGAGACATCACCATCACCGCCCGAGCCTAGCCATCGACCGCCCGCAGGAAGGAAGGGGAATAAAACATGGAGGACACGGTGTTATTATAGTGGCGGATCGGGCGTCAGCGGGGATCGGGAGATTATTTATTAACATATTTATTTATTTATTTCCCTTGTCAGCAATGGCCGGGGTCCATGGCTGCGGCTGCTGAGAGGCAGGTGCAATATCATCGACATTTCGTTTCTCGGCATGGGCTCAACGAGGGCCGATCCACAGGCTGCTCTACACGCCCTCTGTTCCCCGGATACCACGCTGTCTGCGGGGGGAGAGGAATAGCTGAGCCGCGTCTGGAGGTGTGGATGAGGGGGGCCTCTTTACATCAAAATATTAGAGCCAGTAATTTCAAGGTTATGCGCCGTTACACACAGCAACAGCCAGGCTTCCTTCAGTGAATCAGTGCATGCTGCAACATGACATAGGGTTGGTGGGCTTTATTTTAAGGAAACACTGATTGAATACACGTTTTTCTGCATTGAGAGGACCAAAAACCTTTTGACAGGCCTGAAAAAACTGTTGAGCCTCCTCATCTGGAAAACAGAAGCCGGTTTCAGCTGCCAAGATGATGGAGCTACAGATAGACGAGGTGGTGTACCAGGACGACTACGGCTCCGGGTCCGTGATGTCGGAGCGGGTGTCGGGCCTGGCCAACAGCATCTACCGGGAGTTTGAGAGGCTGATCCGCAGCTATGACGAGGAGGTGGTGAAGGAGCTGATGCCGCTGGTGGTGAACGTCCTGGAGAACCTGGACGGGGTGCTGACGGAGAACCAGGAGCATGAGGTGGAGCTGGAGCTGCTGAAGGAGGACAACGAGCAGCTCATCACCCAGTACGAGAGGGAGAAAGCGCTGAGGAAACAGGCGGAAGAGGTGAGTCACTCCCCCGGCTCTGATGGGCCTCTGCCCGCTCCATCACATCCAGCTTCACGCTGCATCCTCCCTGTGTCACGGTGCCCTGTCTGAACCGCCTCACCAGACATGTGACTCATGTTTAGGCCTGTGACAGCAGATTATTTTTAGTGTCAATGTACTGCAGACACTGCTGACCAATGTGCAGCAGTGACTTCTATGAAGCTCTTAGAAATACAATACCCCTTTAATAGACTTTATTGGGTTTTAGTAGAACTGTTTAATAACTAGGCTCATCCATTAGAAAATGTACTTTCTTTTTCTAAAAAAGGAAGACCAGACATTACCTGTTTACATTTCCATTACACGTTTGTTTTTGTTGAGCTGTTATCAGTGCTAGGTTTTAAGTGTGGTTATTCAAAATCAAACATCCTGCGAAATACAAATTCTTTAGACAAAATCATGCTATTCTAAACCTGCTTTCTAGTGATATCATACATGTCAAGATGTGGAGGTCAATGTGAAGTCACTATTTAGCAGACAAAGGAATGTTTAACAAGAAATCTGTTGCAGTGGAGTAAATATATGCAGTACAAGTACACACTGTCATGAAAACCTATTCATATGTATGGACAACAGCGTTTGTATTTACTATAACAACTACTCATATACTACTAGGTTTGCTAATACCACTGTAGTATTTTTGGACCTTGCTCAGTTTTTACTTTGACAGGTATTACTGTCACAACAACTGCAGCTGCAAATACTACCTTCCCCATTGTTACTACAATTTACTACCTTCCCCATTGTTACTACAACTTACTACCTTCCCCGTTGTTACTACAACTTACTACTAACAGTACTTCTACTTCTGCACACTATAATGCCAACTAAAAATATGACCAATATACAATACAAATCTCTCTTCTTAAATTAAATAAGCTAAATTAGTCTCCTTTTTAGTGCCCTTTCGTAAGGCCCGAGGTGCCACTCTGCACAGTTAAAGTATATATGCAAAACACCAAGTAAGGACATGATAGCGTACAAACACTACATGGTGAAAAAGGGACAGTCTGCACAGCTCTGACAGACGACATGTTTAAGCACAACTCAGTGGGCGTTTACAATAAAAAAAAAAAAAGAACAGGGACAAGAACAACAAAAGTGAACATCAATACAGAGCTATTACATTACCGGCCAAGCTCCACCTCCAGCAAATCGTTTTCCCCTCTCTGACCGGTGTAACAGCAGCCGTGGGATCCGGCAGGTTTTCATAAAGCAATTTTAATACTCCTCCCATCCAAAGAGGCCTCAGCATATCACTGTCTGCAGCCCTGCTAGCATCAGCTTAGCTCAGCTTTCATCATCTGCTCTCCCGACACTGTGCTTCCTCCCCGTGGCGCTTATCTAGTTTGTTTTCACTTTAAGCTGTTAATGAGGAGAGGACTCTCTTGGTGTGTTAACATTTCAGGGTTAGGATATTTAAGCTTATTTTAATGTCATGGTATTAAAGAAATGTAGTTGCGTTGTAAGGTGCAGAGCCGGCTGAAGCTATTGTAATTGACAAGATGCCAACAGGTCAAGACATGTTTTTGTTTTTTTGTTTTACAAAATAGTGACTTAAACTTCAACTGAAAGTGTCTTTATGATAACTTGCTGGTGATGAAATAATCTTTAAAAATACTTTCTGTACTTTGATATAGAAATCTAAAGGGTCTAAATCAGACAATGTGCTGTTGGAAGAGCTATCCTTTTTTTGTTAAACAACACAAGATGTAATGCTGGTATGTAGCTTAATATACCAAAAGCCTCAATGATAAAACATGCTTCAAAGCAGACTTAATCTCTGCCAAGATCTTGAATATGACACTGTTTATCTCAGTTAATAACCTTAACTCAGTTGCCTGCCTGCTTCCCTTTTCTTTTTCCCAACGAATGATACATTTCCACTCACCAGACCAGATTTGAAACTTCATATGTGACAGATATGTCCACAACATTCCCTTTTTATAATAATGATACACTTTGCATGATCAATTAGATCTTTATTACTTATTTTCTATATCGAGTGAAGGTTGTGGTGAGATTGATGCAGAGTTGTAGGCTGTTTTGTTACTCTGACTGACAAACAGTTCACTGAGGCAGTTGGTGTTAAAGTGTCTTGCATATAGCATATATTTATATTCTTTTACTATTTTATGTCTGAATGCCTTCACCAAAAGTTGTTTTTTAAATTGCACCCACACCTATTAAATGATAAGCTTTGTCATTATATTTGATTGAGACCATTAAGTAGTTTGTTATCTAAATCACAGGAGGCACAATATTTGTTTAAGACAACATTTTTTTACCATAATACCATTTAGAATATAGTAGTGCAGTGCTGCAGAGATGTCTTGGTATCCAAATATTATTTTTAAGATTGATCAAAAGAAGTATATCCTTTTTGTACAGATCCTGGCAAAAATCACACATAGCAATTTTACATTTGATTTAAAGCTCTAATATCCTGAATCATATCTGTGAAGATGATCCCATTTTTCTCAGTCCTAACCTTATTAATACCTTCGGCATTTTAAAAGGTAGCAATTTACTTGGTTATAATCTAGTGATCTCTTTATGGTCAAGTGTATTTGATTGTTTCTTGATCTTCTGTTCTGAACTCTCTAAGATTATGTTAGCAGCCAGTGAGAGAAGTTACATTAGGTTATACATTTCAATGGAACAAATAAACAGAGAGACAGTTTTGTCAGACTCTCACAGGGGTATAATGGGGGATGGGACAGTAGTGAGGGGTGGGGTAACATAGGAAATCAATAGTACACATAGCACACTGAGGGAGTCTGGCACTGTAACCTGATTTGTGTTTATCATGAGCAGAGACAGAACAACAAAATCAGAAACAGAGTTAAGAGATTGACAGTTGGAAAGCTGCAGTAAGAGCGGGTTAACGCACAGGCCAGATCTGACAGCAGGAGAATAACAAAGAAAAGAGTGTGAGGGACAATCTCAGAGCCTGACAATAACCCACCCTCCCAGAAGACGAGCAGAAAGCGACTCATATTACAAGGTTGTTCGACTCGAGCTAATGGTAAACAAAGCCACAGTCTGCTCATCGTGCAGCCTTGACTAGCACAACCAGCATTACAGTTACTACAGCCACGTTAACAAATTCAGCCATTTTGTAGCATCCTCCTTGTTGTTTCCTGCCTTGTTCTTTTGGGGCCGCCTTCTGGAACGATCCATCACTCTGTATCAAAGTGTGATGACAGTAAAACGTTGATAATCTGCCTCTCACTATTCTCCTAACGTGCTGTCTATGAATGGATTTACTATTGTGAGCAGTTCATAGAAAACTGTTTTTAACTAATCCACTTCAATCGAGAGCTGCAACAATTTATTGATTATTCAATCGACCCAAATATAACCGCCAACAATTTAGATAATGGATTAGTTGTTGTCGTTCAAAAAAGGCAGAAACAGGTTTTTTTCAGCCTCTGAAATAGAAGATTTCCGGCTTTTCTGTGTGAAAACTCATGGTCTTCAAAGAACACTTAAAGACATTACTTTTGCTCTTAACCTCTTAAGTCCTGAGCCTGTTTTTCAGGTCTCAGGCTCGAAAATGACATTCCCAGAACAAATGACCATGTCTTTCCTTCTAAAGTGGGATTGACCTTTTTGCACTGTTTCATAAAATGTTAACTCATTGAAGAAAAAATCATTAGATTAATTAATTTAGAAAATAACCTTTTCTTGCAGCCCTACTTTAATTCATATGCTGTGCTTCTTGGCCTGCAGATTAGGTCACCTAACATGCATCTTGACATGTGACTTGAGAACTTGAACGTATTTCAAACATAGACACATGCTAAAGCCTTTTCTCCCTCTATCTCAGGAAGTACACGGTGTAAATATCTGGAAGTGTGACAACATTACAGTCAAATGCATTTAGCTACAGTTCCTCAGGGAAGCACATCATGTTTACTCTGTCATCACAAGGTTTCCTAATCACTTATTCAAACTGGATTCCACCCTATAAATACACATTTAAAGTATTCTACCTGGGTACAGTATTTCATGTTTGCATAACTCAAATATCCTGTGGGTAAATGCATCAATATGTTTGTAAAGAATATAGTACATTATGTATGCTGTACCTCTTAAATGTTATAATAGTAGAGAGATGAGAGAAGGCATTTAAAGAGTGTTATTTTAGGCAGGACAGGATGCTCTGAACGTAGAGCCACTGAAAAGCATTGTGCTGGTCCCTAGTTTTAGGCCATTTTAAGTAGGCCATTACATAATTTTAATAAAAAAGACAACTAATACAAGCAGAAACCCATTCCTGCTGCTTATTTTATTTAAATTAGTCATTGTTTTTGTGTAAGGCACTGCATTGCGCTACATAACACTATGCTGCTCATCATATATGATATATGCGGGCAGTGAGACTGTTAAAAAATTGAACTGTTGAAACAACTTCAAAACATTCTTCTGCTACTCAGTAATATGTATCTAATACCTAATATATATATATATCATTCCAATAACTTGTATATAGACTCGTACTGCACTATTCCACATCATCACTTTATTTTATAACTATTTTTCTTTTTGTATTGCTCTTGCTCTTATTGTTATTATGTTATTATGTTGCATTGTTGGAGAAGCCTGTGACATAAGATTTTCAACTACATAATTACTCTGTAGCTATGTCAGATTGACAATAAAGAACCTTGAACCTTGAACCTTGAACCTTCATGTTAAAAAAGATGGAAAATATAATTGTTTGTATTGTAAGGTGGTTTATTTCACATATACTTGTTTTTCAGTTCTTACATTGGTAGCAAATGCTCACAAAACAACACAGTATCTACAGACGGGTGTTTATTTAGCTTGTCAGTTTATAATAACATGCAAATTGACCTTTTATTGAGTCGTGTTTTTGTCATTTGGTTGATTTGCTATAGAAACCTGGCTTTTTTAATAAGCCTGCAAGAAGAGTAAGATCTCTCCAACCTCTCACCCTCAGAGTCGGATACAATCAGCAGCAGAAAGGACTAATTGGTTCATTTTTCTGCTTAAATCCACTCTGCATATGACGAACAAGTAGGAGTGTCGTCTGCTGGATATCAATATTAGTTTCTGTATCAAACTGAAGGTCATTATATTATAGCAAGTGCCTTTGTGTGCATTGAATATCTGCTGCAGGGTCCTGGTTGAATAGTTGCCCTTCAGTCAGAGGATTACAGTGTTAAGACTTTGTGGACTGCTGAACTGAAAAAAGGAGGACATTGTGAAGAGTTTTATAATAAAAACCTTTCTCCAAGAGACAAAAGCTTTAAAATAATGATTCAATGTATATTGAAAACACTTACTTTTTGACTTATTGACTCTCAACAATTCTATTGTTACAGTACATGCTGTCTATTAACCAAAAGCATAGTAGCCTTAATCTTAGTCTGGTGTTTCTTTCCATATTGAATCAACATGCAATATAATTCGTCATCTTTGGTGCAGTTTATGAATGTATTCCCAGCTGTTTTACACATCTTTGTTCCCGTCTCCTCCTTTTAGAAATTCATTGAATTTGAGGATGCGTTGGAAGCTGAGAAGAAGGATCTGCAGGTGCAGGTGGAGTTTCTGGAGCTGCAGTCCAAACAGCAGGAGCTCAAATCAAAGAACTACTCCGACCAGAGTGAGTGGAAAAACATCCCAGCTGATAACGTCTGTATTCTTACAATTTACTGAACGTGCAGCACATGTGACTGTTTCTTCACGGGTGTCTCTGTTAGAGTTGAAATACAGAGCTATAGTCAGGTCTAAGTTGATCCTTACACATAACACAACGAGAATATAAACAAACCATATCGAATTAAAAATAATTTGTAAGTAAAGCAGGACCACAATTGAATTGATTTACAGTGGTTTACTGCAAATTAGCTTAAATATTATATATAATATACTTAGAAAATACTCCCTGGTAAGTCTTTGCTCCAACTATTATAATCCGTACTCTTTTCTAAACTGTTTTCTCTCTCTGTCTCCCAGTCGTGCGGTTGGAGGAGCGAGAATCAGACATGAAGAAAGAGTACAACGCTCTGCACCAGCGCCACACTGAGGTGAGGGTAACATTCAGCATCACAACTTCGCAACCGAGGCCTGTACTACGAATCCAGTTCAACATACCCTGGATATGTTTGAGTTACCCGGTTTACCTAATCCAAAACAAACGCGCTCTCGCTAAGCGGTCCTACGACGCTGGTTATCAACTCGGTAACTCAAGCCAGGGTTTCTCTGACATGAAAGGGGCGGGGCTAGCAACATTTCACCAATCACAAACATGGAGAAGCATACTGACAGCGCAGCGCGTCATACTTCCTGAATGAAAAGTAAACTATAATATTAGACAAATATGAAGAAGTTAAACTTTAAACATCCATGACTTAAACACTTTATCCAGGATAAAAGCCACATAGCTGCACCTGCAAGGTGAATACAGCTGGTAAAAGAAAAAGTGTTTGAATGCGTACATTAACAGGTTTATGATATCACAGCCCCGTTAAGACACGAGTGGATCTGACTTTAATTACATTTGACTCGAGTGTTTCGTCAACTTAATGTGTTGCTTAAAATAATACTTCTGCATACAGTATGTGACACTGTGAGTGTTGCACGGCCAGATACGGCTCAAAAAGCTGACTCAGATAAGGAAATATATGATACATTATGATGTGATATGATATGAATGATAATGGGACACATCGACGTCTGCACTCACAGTGCCGCGGACTGTACTTAATGTTACTCTGATCCGGTTACTTATGTTGTGGCAGATATTTAAGTAAGCTTTCTTAACGCTAATGTTATAATAGTCAGATTGCTCTGAAGATGGGAGGGGATATTCTATTAATTTTCACGTTCACACAGTCGGTGATTTTGGCCGGCCGTCTTTCCTGCAACGGCAGTTTAAACTGTATTTCCTTTCTCCTGTAATATGACTTGATCGCTTTAAACTCCGCACACTGAGCTCTGATTGGTCAGCAGGCGGTGCTTTCACTGAGTTGATCTTTTATCCTAGAACCTAACCTGCTCCGGACCAGGCTAGCTGTTCAGCACAAGTTACCATGGAGATCTAGCCTGGTAAGAAGTGAACCAGCGTCGTAGGACCGGAAACCCAGAGTTTTCCCTGAAGTTAGCTCGCTAAGCGAAAATCTGGCTTCGTAGTACAGGCCTCAGGAGTCTCAACACATTAATCTTAGCTTCATCTTGAACATTCCCATTGTTATATCTCCAAAATCAACCAAAAACACATGCCTGTTAACTAATACCAATTTGATTCCTGCTAAAATGACCACCCTTCAACCATATTGCTTCATTTTACATTCCAAGCAGCCATTGATTTAATCTTAGAAAGCAATTGCACACATGTTTGTTAGTCTTATTGATGAACTGTCACAACAACTATTCGTATATTATTGGAAAACAAGGTTTTCCTGGAAAGTACAGAAACACAATACAGAAAAAAATGTGAATTCAATAAGGGTCACCATTACCATCTTCGTGTGTTTTGTAATAAATAAACAGCAATATGCAAAAGCCCAAGTGTGGTCCCTTTGAGATTAAGAATCCCATGGTCCTTGGCGTTATCAAAATATTAGACTATTATTAATGTATTATTATCCAAACTTCTTTACTTACCCATCCAGGAATGTCTCTCATGCTTTCTTGTCCTAAAACATGTCCTAAACATATAACTTTCCTCTCCTTTTCTTCTCACATTTTCCCTTTTTGTTGTCATGTGTATCTCAGATGATCCAGACATACGTCGAGCACATAGAGCGGTCCAAAATGCAGCAGGCGGGGAGCAACAGCCAATCAGAAGGCACGGGCTGTGGACGAACGTGAGTTATTTTAACGTGTGTGTTGGTGTGTAAAGGTTGTTTGTATATCTTGTTCACCCATTGTGTTGTTGCTGATGTTTCATGTTTTGTCCTGAATGTATTAGGCTTCACATGATTCACAATGCTCATTGATGCTGGTCCTTGTTTGTCAGTAAATACATGAACAGCCGATACGTTTGACTTATAATATACTATTTGAGGAATAAGATTAGGATGCGTAGGGTTCTTTCTGATTCATGTGATCCAAACATTTCCAATAACCTTAAAGCCAGAGGCAAATATTTGTTTAAAAAAAGACAGATGTTATCATTTATAAAGATTCACATCGTGTTTTTATCTACAAAATATTCTGCTCCAAATCATATTTGTTGGCATTTAGCCTTTCGAAAACAACCTTGTCACTGCTGTCAAATTGTGCAGCCTTGTGGGAAATCATTCAAAATAAGAAAATCTGAAGTTTATTTTTCCGGCTCGCAGTATTCAGCAGTTGGCCAGCCCATGAGTCATGAATATTTATAAGCACGAAGAGAGAGGAGGAGTGAGACATCTGCTGCAGCTACTGAAGCTGAACTGCATTTGCTATGTTCACTAAACACAGTATCTTGAATATCGATCTACTAAACTGTCTCCTTCCTAAAACTACAAGTCTTTATGAACCAATAGAAACAGAGGACTGTGTTTACTTTTACTAATTTCCTTAGTCAATTTATTGAACATGTCAGAAACAAAACATACAACAATAATAATAATATATATATATATATTTTTTTTTTTCTCACTCATAATTATAACAAAATACAAAAAAAAATAATAATACAAAAAGAAAAAGAAAAATTAATGATAATAATTCACAAATGATTGAATTATAAACATTAATGAGACTCAAAAGATTCCTTCAAACTGCTGATTGCCTGGAGCAGCTTCATGAAGAACAATCTTAAAGAGAAATTGAATAATACTTTAAAACTGAAATCAACTTGTGTGTGTGTGTGTGTGTGTGTGTGTGTGTGTGTGTGTGTGTGTGTGTGTGTGTGTGTGTGTGTGTGTGTGTGTGTGTGTGTGTGTGTGTGTGTGTGTGTGTGTGGTGTGTGTGTGTGTGTGTGTGTGTGTGTGTGTGTGTGTGTGTGTGTGTGGTGTGTGGTGTGTGTGTGTGTGTGTGTGTGTGTGTGTGTGTGTGTGTGTGTGTGTGTGTGTGTGTGTGTGTGTGTGTGTGTGTGTGTGTGTGTGTTCATATGTCATGCCATGTTCATGTCACCTGTCTCTCTCTAATCACTGTCTGTCTGTCTGTCTGTTTGCTGGCTTGCTCTCTGTTGCTGCTGTTTGCACAGTCAACGCCACACATGGAGGAAAAGGTAAATCCCACAGCGGCCCTCACGCCCCCCCCCCCCCTTCAGCTCCTCCGTCTAAACTGGCCTGCTCTTGACTTAAAATCTGACTTGATTTGCTGATGCCCCCAACGCGCCTAAACACCCTATTTATAAAAGCGTTTCTTTATGTGTTTGGGTTAGTAGTTAAGATGCTTGTGACAACATTTTATTGCCTTGAATGTATACATCATTTTGCATTCTGATAACAAATAGGGAATGGTTCAGAGATTATGTTAAGAGATGCATTATGTTCCAGTTTTATCCTATTTTCCCTCATGGGTTGCCAGTCAGTCTTTCTCTGTGTGCCTGCTTTGCTTGCCTTATTTGCCCTTCTACCAAAAGTGAAACAATAGTATTAATCAAAGAGGGAAGCATTTATATGGAAATGCATTCATATAAAATAAACTGTAATAGGTATCTGCAGCAGTTCTTGTAATTTTGTACTACTTTCTGATGTGGGAAAAACAAGATCTCAATCTAGCATTACACAAACAGAAGCCATTAGTCTTGAGGTTTTGTAGAGCAGCAGATTTAGGTATATACACTAAGGATGAGTGCATCTCTGAGTGGATTTTCTGGTTAATTTTATTTTGTAACATTTATTTCATAAACTAGTCTTTAATCAGTAATCAGGTACTCGTGAAATTTGTATGACAGTTAGTCGACTAAGAATATATTTGGTAGAGGACAGCCGCACCCTGCACACACAGTTGCAGCGAGTTTTGTTAAGGCCTAACATAACCAAAACACTTTTTGTAGTTAATCAGCCATACATGAAACTGATTCCTGGTTACAAACGCTACCTGTAGTTTTTTATTCTCTGCCTGTTTGAATGACTTGCATCCGTATCCCCAATACATTAGGAAAGCCTACTAGGACAATATGAATGTTCTTATGGACTGGACTGCATGCCCTCAGAGCTCCTGTTGCTTCTCGCTGCAGGGCTTGTAAATCAGCTGTTTGCCCTTAAATCTTGCTTTATTTCCACATTACTCATTTTTATATACTTTAATGGGGGTTTGATTTCAGGCTTTTGCTGTTTCTGGAGCCCCGAAGAAGAAAACAATGATTGAATGTAACAAATGAATACTCATGTTGGTTTCCCCCCCTCCCCTCTCTCTCTGTGTGTTCTCTGCCAGCAGCAAAGCAGAGCGCCCGCCTTCATTGAGCCTGTACCCCAGCGGCGAGGGAATGGTACGTGGGGGTCTCGGGGGGGCTAGGATGATGCCCGGGAAAGACATCTGGCAGGTCAGCGAGCTCGGCCCGTCTCCTTTCCGCTCTGCCTATCAGGTGGGACAGACGGCGGCCATGTTGTCCTCCACGACCACAAACACAGCCCGGGGAGGGGGGGGGGGGGGGGGGGGGAGTGATCTCAGCCACATGGACCCCCTCCCCTCCACACCTGCTTGTGTCACTTTCAAAGACACTTTTTTATTCACGTCACTTGGAAATCTATCATTTTAAAGTCAGTTTTGTTGACTCAAGCAAGCATGGGTCCAAACTGTGTGTTTATTGATTTCCTGCCATGTTTCTGCTTCATGGTTTATTATAGATATTTAACTGTTTTAAGAGAAACAGCCAAGGTAAGAAGGAAAGTGTTGCCTTCTTGTTGTCGCTTCTTCCTGGTATGTAGCTTTGACAACGTGCTAAGAGCGTATACACACCTCAAGGTTAAGATTTTAGGACATAGACACCTTCATTTTTTAAGTTTCAGCATTTAAAGACTAGCATTGTTTTTGAGTCTTTTGCTGAGAGTTATGCAGAAATCAAGGAATTAAGCTGTCTACTTGACCTTGGTTTGTAATTTAGCCTTTTTTGACAGAACACCCCAAATTTGACGAGCTTAAATTGGGAAAACCATAATTCAAACTTTAACTTGTCCAAAATAAGTGAAAGTAGTTTGCGCTCAAAACCCTGTACGCCATTCAAAACAAAATACAGCCTCAAATGGGATTATTCAACAAAACATGAAGCTGCTTACAAATCATAGCAACTCTATCTAGTAATTTAATTGTACTACCAGTCACTGTAGTTGCTAGAAATAAAACGAGCTGTATACTCTACTATATACTCCTCTTATACTGCTGTCTCTCTCCTCTGTCATCGTCTCGCTCCACTAAGGAGGACGGATCAGAGTCCGACTCGGTGGCAGCGACACCCAGCAGCACAGGGAGCAAGTCCAACACCCCCACCTCCACCGTCCCCTCGGCCACCGTCACCCCCATCAACGAGGGCTTCGTCCCGCCGGCGGAGTTTGATGCGATGCGAGCTGGGAACCGCAGGAAAGGTGCGAAGCGGCTCAGCAGGAACATGGAGGTGCAGGTTTCTCAGGAGACCAGGAACGTCAGCATCGGTAAGAAGACGTCACAGAACAGATGATTATATTTAACGTTATCGTCATTGCATTGAGTAAAAATACTGGGACAGTGAAATACAGTTAGCATCTAAACAGGGCAAAGGAAACAGTTTAGTGCAGTGTAGGTTATTGGTATAATATATGTATATAAATGCGACAAATACAAAAAAGCTACAGTATATAGAGTATTAACAGTGTGTCTGGGTTTAAACACAATGAACAGTAGCTTAAAGTGGACCTATCATGATATATTTGAATAATATAGTGTAGGACCATACCTATATAAAGGCATATTTATAATTTTTTTTTTTCAAAATACCAAACAGATCATGCATTTTAGCCATGCCTCATTTCGCTCAATTTGAAATGTTTAGCTCTGTTTTTGCAAGGGCTGATTCAGTGAGAACAGCACCATCTACAGGCCTGGCATATGTACTACAGCGTCTCCAGCGCTTTCGAACGGCAATGGCCGTGGCTGTCTCCTCCTGATTGGTGGAGTTGGCCCAATAGCCGTAGCGCCACCGTCCTGACGTCAGGACAGTGTTCAAATCTGGATCAGTTTTGATCAGATCCGTTGCAGCCCCTTTTTTAGAGATTTGGGTATGGAGGAAAATAGAGAGGGTTGTGTTTTCTGACACTTGGTGAGTTCCCTGGAACACCGGGGACACATATTCATGTTAAAAGACGTACAAAAGTGCATTTTGCATGATAGGTCCCCTTTAAATATTGAATAGACTAAAAATAAAAACAGTATAGACATATACAGAGTAAATATGAATACACTTTAGTCAATTATTGACATAAAACCTCCTTAGTTTAGATCTGTATCTCAGATATGGAACTTAGACATTGTTCACTCCCAAATAATAAATTGGTGCATTTTTGCGCATCAAAAAATAGGATATTTGACGTTCAGTTGTGTTTCCGTCATGTTTTCCAGGCATGGGAAGCAGCGATGAGTGGTCCGAGTTTCAGGAGATCATCGATTCGACCCCTGAGCTGGACATGTGTGTGGACCCCCGTGTGTACGGAGGAGGAAACAGGTACAAATATACTGTGGCCGCATCACTGGAGTGCCATAACAAAGTGTCGTATTTTAAATCAAATTAATTAAATTATATATTCTATGAATTATGTATCAGTGTGCAATTTTCCCAGCTGTGCTACAACGTAATGATTTGACCAGGTCTTAGGACCAAAAGTTGCAATAGAAGGGAGTACAAGTGATAAATAGTAAGTTATATCTTTGTTTATTGCTATTGTTTATTAAACGTCATGTGTGTTTCAGCCCCTCCCAGGGCATCGTGAACGAGGCCTTCGGCATCAACACCGACTCTCTCTACCACGAGATCAAAGACGCCAAATCAGACATCATCGGAGACGTAGACGCAGGCGCCGAGCTGCTAGGTGCGAACAGGACTGTGTCTTCCATAGGTTTAGATGTGTTTAAGGGTTCAAGTGGAATACCTGCCCTGAAGCTTGGCAGTATAAATCTCTCAGTGTGTTCACTCAAAGGGATGCATTCAACTGAAGTGATCATTGTCCCGCTTTCAGAATTAGAAATCCTTTATTTGTCCCGCAACGGGGAAATGAACGGTTTCACAGGAGCTAAAAGTACAGTGCAGATTAAAGTAAATAGAGGAAACTTACATATTATATAAAAAGCAGGCACAAACAAGTAAAAAAAAGAAAAGAACAGATAAGTACAGAAAACTAAGTAGCAGTATTTCGTCCTTCTGCACTCTAGGCTTCTACTGTAAGCTTACATGCCAGTTATGTGTATTATTATAACTCTTAGATTTGGAGTAGATCCAAAGTAAGGGAAATGAAGGCATGTGACTGTTACATAAATGCATCTTTTCTTTTGGCTCTGTGTTATTGCAGGGCAGGAGCTCCATGTGAGGCTGTGTGAATGTGCCACTGCACTGACTTTTACTTTGCATTGTTGAGGCTGAAATGTTCTCTGTGCCGGCAGCTTATCTCTCCGTCACATCCTGAAAAAACATACAATCCCTCTCTGGCTGCACCCCCGACCCACGCTGCTCATTCATGCAGTGTATTTTCAATTTTTTTTATCATTTCTTTGACTTTTCTCTTCTCTCTTTTTTGGGGCACAGGCATGTTTAGTAAAGTCCATTTCAAAAGCTGCACGTTTAAACAGATCCTTTAAAAGTTATATTTACCATTTATTTTGACTTCATTGCACTTTATGCTTGTTACTTTGACAAACACACTTTAAGGGGATTCTGGTGGATTCTTCATTTCAGTTTTTAGGGGATGTTTGTATTATTCATCATCAGAAACGGAACAGAGGATTTTCTCCATCTTCTTGTCCATCTGATAACTTCTCACACGTTTTCTTTTTTTTTCCTTTTTATGTGCTTCTGCTGGTGACACCCATAGGCGAGTTCTCAGGTGTGTATCTGATCATGCATTGGTTGGTATATATTTTAATTTTTTAACCTCTTTTGACTCCTCTTATTTCTAAACTCCACATCTAAGGGTAGGTATAAACCAGTGTTTACGAAGTAGAAGAAGGAACAATACAACAGCTTATTATGATCCTATTGCCCTGAACTTTGATGATACAGTAGATGCCCAATATACATAAGTAAAACGGTTCCTTTAAAGTCACAGTGAAATCATTGAAATCCTTTGTGATCAGACTACATTGACTTCATAGACCTTTTTTCTTTTAGTCTCTCACATACTTACAATACAACTCAACGGTTTATAATAACCCCTTTCATCCAGTTCAAACAGGAACTGCATCATTTCACAGAAGCAATAGAGAGGCGAAGTCCCGCCCCTTCCAGTTGAGCTCCATGGGACCTTATTTCGTAAGTTATGCATTGAAGTCAATGGAGAGAGAAAGATTATCTTTCGATCCCGTTTGAATTGTGCCACGAATTACACATATGATGTTTGTCAATTTAAAAGATAATTTTACAAGTCAAAAAAATAAAAATGTGTCGTAAAAATGTGAAGTAACACTTTTTTTGTGTGAAACCGCTCAATGAACTACATCTCCCGTCTCGCACCACACACCAAGACGGCCGTCACGTTGGCACATTTCACTTCTTTCTTTCAGAATGAGGCGAACATTTTTAAAAGAGGTGAAAATCACTACAAGTCTGGGCATGTTGAGAGCTGTACATACACACAAGGGGAGTTAGTCGGTTCATAAGAGCCAGCATGCAGGACCGGGATTCTGGGATTTGTAGTCTTTCTAGTTGCGTATTTTTCATAGTCTTATATTTCAACAGTTTTACGACAAACTGTGACTTTTTTGACATGGAAATTATTATTTAAGATTGACAAACATCATATGTGTAATTCGTGGCACAATTCAAACGGGATCGAAAGATAATCTTTTCTCTCTCCATTGACTCCATTTCCGAAATAAGGTCCCATGGGTCCCACCGGAAGGGGAGGGACTTCGCCTCTCTATATAGTAAAATATGTTTCACTGGGACTTTAAATGAATCCTATGATATTTGATGATGTGATCTGTAGGATCACTGTAATACCTCTTTCTGTGTGAGACATAGCAGCGTTTGTCCAACTTAATAAATGCTTATCAGCATCTTTTCTTTTCCATTCCTGTACTTCACATTTTCCTCTCTGATACATGACCTCTCCTCTTCCTCCACTTTTTGACTTTTCTCCCTTCTTCTTCTTCTTCTTCTTCTGCCTCCAGTCCGCGATGATTTCTTCGGTAAGGCGCACCTTGCCTACTCTCGTGCTCACATTATGCTTGCTCTGTTGTTCCCTGGCCGCTCGTTTTGACATCTTTCTGGTTCCTTATTTGTGTCCGTGTTGCTTTTATTAACATTCTGAACCACGTTCGCATCTCCCATACGTAATGTTTAGATATCTGTCAATACGAAGCTGCTCATTTTCAGAACAAAAAAAGGAAGCTACAGAATGATCTAATGGTAAAGAGGCACTACAATTAAGAACAAATTGTGAAAGTCTTTGAAGGACGCACACAGCCAAAACGAAAGAACAAAGTGCTTCATCAGAGGTTATTTTTTCGTTGGACTTCTTTGTTTACTTCTGTAACATAGTTACATTACTATATAATATATATTACTATATATATATATCAAGCGTCTTTGAGTTGGGAAAAACGCTATATAAATAAAATGTATTATTATTATTATTATTATTATTATTATTATTATATAACACTTGCACTTCTATTTCCTAGCACTCCAACAAATTGTATGTGATATGCTAAGGGGCGGGGCATTCTCTAAACAGTTGACCAATCACAACAGAGCCGGCCAGCTAACCAATCAGAGCCTTAAGTCAGTCTAAGCCTTAAGTAGACACAAGTGGAACCCAGAAAGATGGACACCAACCTGTAATTTTGATGTTGTGATATGTGATCTGCCTGCAGAGATTTCTAACCCAGAGTTCAGCAAGTACTCGTTTCTCTGCAGACAACACACGCCATTTGGCACTTCGTATAATATAATGTCTTGGCTATTTTGTTTTTGTTTTGTTTCTTATTTCCAAATGTTTCTGTGTTGAAGCTTCTGCTTATACTGTGTGCGCTTGGCTTCTGTTGCACAGGGCCTGCTGCTTGCACGTACAATTTTCAGTTGATATCCAGCAATGATGAAGATAATAAAGATTTCATTTAGGAGTTAATAGGTTGAGCTTTACATTAACATATTTGTATGTGCAGTCAAATATTGTTTAGTCTAGTTTCATGAGTGTTATCCAGATATTTGACATCCCTCCTTACCTGACGTAGTTTCCTTGTTAGCGAGAGAGGTCAAATCAACAATCTGTTCATTCATTCTCATATTTAATTATTAAACCTTTAATAAAAGGTACGGGATTGAAAACCTCCACAATCCCGTACCTTTTATTAAGGGTTTAATAATTAGATTGGCTGGTCTGAAAGGCTGCATTGCAACTTTGGGATTCTAATTGTTCTTATCTATCATTGTATTTATTGATTTATGGATGTTTGTGATGGTTAACAGAGATGTTATTTATTTCAGGGATGGGTAAAGAGGTGGAAAACCTGCTGACAGAGAACAAACAGCTCCTAGAGACCAAGTAAGAGACACAGAGAAGATTAATGTGTGTGTATTTGTCTCTGATATGGATATGAAAAATGTAATTTTATCTTGGGCAAACAAGTTGTGATTTATGTATCTCCATATACAATGGCACTTAAACATACTGGCATCACTTAAAGGTGGGGTAGGTAAGTTTGAGAAACCGGCTCGAGATACACTTTCTGTTATATTCCATGGAATGCTCTTAACATCCCGATAGCAATGAATATCTTAAGTGCTTTGACAAAAAATCCATTAAAGAATGTCATCTGTGGAAGCCGTAGTACTGTAAAAAGCACGACCAATCATTTGAGCCGGCCCGGCTAAAATAACTGGATGGCCTACCTGCCTGTCAGCCTTCCATCGGGGCACAAACTTATCTCGTGCCCTCATTGGTCATGTGCGCGTTCGTGTGTGTTGGAGGAGGGGCTCTATAAGGAAGTAGCAGATTTCTTCCGGCTGTGTATTTTCAAATTCTAGCGCACTCGAGCTGGTTTCTCCAAAATTACCTACCCGACCTTTAACCTTACATTTAGCTAAGAAGCTAATATTTTTCTCCAAAGATAGGACACTTTTTTTAATTCAAGATTTATATTTTTTTTACTTGAACATCCTTTTAAGTGAATAACAAATCATCTTTAATTAAAAGGCACTTCTTATGAGTGTTATCATTAGCGTTATTTGTCTCAATGGTTTTGATATCTTTCTTTTTGCTCTTTCCTCCACAGAAATGCTCTCAACATTGTGAAAAATGACCTTATTGCCAAAGTGGACGAGCTGTCGGGGGAGCATGAGGTGCTGAGGGAGGAGGTGGAGGCTCTGAGGCAGTCCAAGAACAAAGTGGAGGCCAGAGTCAAGGAGCTGGAGGAGGAGCTCAGGAGGTGGACATACCAAAGTTGTATTTTTGTTAACATGTATGTTACGTCCCCACGAGGGGATGAGGAAATGCAACACACACCAGTTGGAATTGGTACATAATTATAAGGAGTTTATTAAATAGCAAGATAACAAAATGGAAGGCAAGCAACTTGAAACAAACAAAAGGGCCACAAGGGCGCAGGTTTAACTGAGCACCCAAACAAAGGGAGGACTCTAAGAAGGGAGCCTACTTAAATACAAAGAAATAGACACTAATAAACAAAAATAGTAACAAAACAACCCTCACTATTGAAGTGGTACAGACTACGAAAAGGAGGCTGTAGGAAAACACAGCTAAGCTAAATGACCGCAGTCAACGTAAATGCTAAACTACTCTAGTCACATCTAATCATAACCACACAGCTAAACACGGACCACACGAGTTAACCACTGTTAACAGATTCGTACACAATCAAAGAGCACGTAGCGAGAGGCGTCTGTTCACACAACAGAGCCTCCCGACTGATCGTTGTCCCCAGGCTTTGTAGTCGTCTCCGGAAGGTGTGCGCCGGATGTGCGCTGGGATTGGAGCGCGTCGGGCCCGGCGTGCTCCAATCACAATATTTTCGGGGGCGGACCAGGAGATGGGTAGCCAAGGACCTCAGGGCAACCGCACAGCTCATTTACATAAGACACATTCAAAACAGAGTTACCAGGACCAGGGAGGCAGCGGCCGTAACCATGATGATGATATGATCCCTCACAATTAGAATGAATAAATAAACAGGGCAGCAGTTAGGAGACAATTACATTCATCCTTCAGCGTAATTGCTGTTGACCTGCAGTCCAAAACTTAGTGACCTTACCAAATGGATGCATCCTGGCAACAGACACAGAGGAAGAGTAACATGATAGTCTTGAAAAACTGCGACAGGTGACATGAGAACAAGAGGATAACATGTCTGAATACAGATCTCAGTCTTTCTGGTTTCATGAAGCAAAACTTGTTCTCATTTAACGTCTGTAATTTCTAAGGTGATAATGTTACTTTGTTCTACATCCTCAGTTGGAATAGTTTCTGCTGTTCAGGCTTTATTCATTTTCAGTATGCTATTTTATTTGTATTTATAGAAAAATGTGCTTACAATAGAAAGATCACTTTCACAGGCAGTTAAAGCTGACGTTTTACTGCTAAAAAGTGCTAAGTAGGGATTTTTAAAACTCATTTTGACGCAGTGCCAGAGGCTGAACAAACATCTTTATGACACCTAATAAATCTTAAGCTACATTACATATACTTGAGACAGTTTGAGGTCCCAGAAAGAAATTCATGGCTGGTCATTTTAGATAGAAAGAAAGTAGATAAGATCAAACTACAACTGAGAAGAGACACAGAGTATAATGTGTGTTTGTCTGAAATACTTACCAAAACACAGAGGCCACATTTCTCCCAGTCTCAGTGGACCTGTTGCGTGCAAGTCCAGATGTTCACGAGTAAAAAATAAGTTTCCTAATTAGTTCTTTCTCTCCGGGCTGCAGGTTAAGAGCAGAGGCTCTCGGTGCGTCTCGGGACTCAAAGGATGAAGCAGGCGATGACGTGAGTAAACTGCATTACTGAGTTATTTTCAAAAGTAAAATAAATGAATACTTTGTAAAACAAAATGTAACTATGTGTAAACTGTCTTAATTACTCACATTTGAGCAGATTTAATCCTCATTATTCTACGTTTTGGTTGTTTGGTTGCAGTGGAAGAACACTTTTAACACATTAAAACATAACCCACTGCCAGTATAGTGCACATCTCTGCATGTAAATCTGTGTTTTCACATCTTCTGTAATAACTAAATGACGCTATGCTCTTGCGTGTCCAGTTTTCATCGCCCATGCAGGACGGAGACATGACGATGACGCAGCGGCGGAGGTTCACCCGGGTGGAGATGGCCCGAGTTCTGATGGAGAGGAACCAGTACAAAGAGAGGCTGATGGAGCTGCAGGAGGCCGTGCGGTGGACCGAGATGATCAGGTAGACCAAAGGAAGCTTTAAACTAGGGAAGGAAAAACGTATGTGATCACAAGAAGCATACAGCAAACTAAAAGGTTTACTATGCTCTTCAAAAAGCTGCAAGATCTCTCAATACTCAGGAAACTAAACAGTTTTAAGCATAATTTTGTGTTTTTTATACTAATTATCTTACTAAAGGGGTATATTTTTCAAAATTGTGAATTTAAAAGGTTATATTAAACCACATGTATTTATAAAATATCAGTTTTGTGTGCTGTGTTAGTTTGGCTCAACTTTAATTGTTTTCCTTCTCCTCACACCTCTGTTTCCTCTCAGGGCGTCCAGAGAAAGTCCTCAAATGTCAGAGAAAAAGAAGTCCACCATCTGGCAGTTGTAAGAATCAGCTTTTTCTTCAACTTATTCACAATGATATATTAACTTCTTTGACTGTAACGACACTGTTGTGAATAATACTGTGCAACAATTACTTTTCCACATGTTATTCATGCAGTTACTGGCTGCTACATCACTGCTTTATATGACTTACTTTTAAAACTGGTGCTGCTTATTTTTATTAGCATGGATGTGTACTTATTTGATTTTATATTATTTAAATATGTTTGCATCTTTAGTTAATAGGAAAATCGACTTATTATGTTGGCCTTTTATCAGCAATGTCCCCCTTTGCTGTAAACATTTAATTAAAATGTCCCCCCTATGATAGATAGATAGATGGATAGATAGATAGATGGATAGATGGATAGATAGATAGATAGATAGATAGATAGATAGATAGATAGATAGATAGATAGATAGATAGATAGATAGATAGATGGATGGATAGATAGATAGATAGATGGATAGATAGATGGATGGATAGATAGATAGATAGATAGATGGATGGATAGATGGATAGATGGATAGATAGATAGATAGATGGATGGATAGATAGATAGATAGATATATATATATATATATGGATAGATAGATGGATAGATAGATAGATAGATAGATAGATGGATGGATAGATGGATAGATGGATAGATAGATAGATAGATAGATAGATAGATATATATATATATGGATAGATAGATGGATAGATAGATAGATAGATAGATAGATAGATGGATAGATAGATAGATGGATAGATGGATAGATAGATAGATAGATAGATAGATAGATGGATGGATAGATAGATAGATAGATGGATAGATAGATGGATGGATAGATAGATAGATAGATAGATGGATGGATAGATGGATAGATGGATAGATAGATAGATAGATGGATGGATAGATAGATAGATATATATATATATATATATGGATAGATAGATGGATAGATAGATAGATAGATAGATAGATAGATGGATGGATAGATGGATAGATGGATAGATAGATAGATAGATAGATAGATAGATATATATATATATATGGATAGATAGATGGATAGATAGATAGATAGATAGATAGATGGATAGATAGATAGATAGATAGATAGATGGATAGATAGATAGATAGATGGATAGATAGATAGATAGATGGATGGATAGATAGATAGATAGATAGATGGATGGATAGATAGATAGATAGATAGATATATATATATATGGATAGATAGATGGATAGATAGATAGATAGATAGATAGATAGATAGATAGATAGATAGATAGATAGATAGATGGATAGATAGATAGATACAAAACAAGGCAATGTACTTAAGAGAAATTAAGACACTAGAAATAAATAATCCAAAATATTTCTGAAGTAGAAATAAGAAAGCATTAAAAAGTAAAAAAATATACATGTGGAAATAAAAATGTCCAGTAACAAAATATAATGCAGGATATTAGATATACATTAATTGTGCAAGAAATTGATTATTCAATATTCAATTGAATAATCAATTTCTATGGAACAAATAATGGATTTATGAATTATAAATAACCTGATTGATAACAAATGAATCTGTGAAACATGAAGGTAAAACCCCTCTTCCTCTATCCTCCAGCTTCGCCCGTCTCTTCAGCACGTCGTCCAGCCCTCCGCCCGTCAAGAGGCCGTACTACAGCGTCAACATCCACTACAAGTCTCCCTCGCCCGCCAGCTTCTCTCAGCGCCGCAGCCACACCATGTGCCAGATCTCCACCTCCAACCGCACGCTGGAGTTCTTCCCCGAAGAGTGAGCAGGAACCAGATAGAACATTTCTTTAAACCTAACCTCTCTAAAACCTCTGTCCTTACCTGCCTCACACTCTGCTGAACGCCTGGTCGCTTGCTCGCTTTGCAGAAGCTTGGAGAGTAGAAAACTTCAAGCTGCTTATTCAGAATTCAACATAGAAGTGGCGATATAATTCACACATTTAGGATGTTTGTTAGTGCCTTCACATCCCTTTCAGACACATGTGTTCATGCATGTGAAAGGAAATATTCTGAATAACGGTAACATGTTGTTTTAGCTATTGTATAACTTTTATAAGAACAAGATGATTTGGAAAGATACAGTTATTTTTAATAGTAGAGCTTCTATAGTTACATAATTAGAATTGTTATTCCAACATTTAAAAAAAAGTTTTATACCTTCCTGTTTTGAGTGTTAATTGGGATGGGAGAGTTTGATTTCATGTATCCTTCTCAAGTTATATATTTGTTGTAACATCTCAGGTACACAGACAGAAGTACATTTGGCAATAGATCTATCACTCACACAAAGACACAAAGTTATAATATTGAACATTTAAAAATAAGTTATGATTTTCTTGTGCGAATTCAATGGCTTGGCTTGAGCTAGAATAGAGTTGACTTTCACTTGTGCTGATAACCACTGCTTTCCTCTAGCTCTTTTGCTGCTGGCTGGCCAGGCTGCTAACGCTTCACTCTCTCTCTCGCTCTCTCTCTCTCTCTCTCCTCTCTTCTCCTCTTCTGCTCTCTTCTGCTCTCTTCCTCTCTTCCTCTCTTCCTCTCTTCCCTCCGCCTGTTGCTCACAGACTGGCCAGTAACGGTGTTGCGTCTCTCCTCAGCGACTCGGCACTGTTGGCCCGCCGAGAGCAGCGGCGTGAACAGTACCGGCAGGTCCGCGAGCACATGAGGCGCGACGACGGCATCATGCAGGCGTGTGGCTGGAGCGTGCCGTCTCGCTTCAAACAGGTACACACACACACACACACACACACACACACACACACACACACACACACACACACACACACACACACACACACACACACACACACACACACACACACACACACACACACACACACACACACACACACACACATGTAGAATAACCCCGCAGCTCACTGATTTGGATACGTTACTGACAGAAACAGTCAATAAATCATGAAAACGAATTATGATCCGATACAAAGATTGTGAAATTATTTGGCTTTATTTAACTTTTAGTGAGCGCGTGGCGAACTCATGAGGTTTTCAAGTTTATTTTATGGATGTCACACAAAATATTTTTTAAATAAAAAATAACCTTGTATAAAACTCAGCACAATCTCTCACACTGTGTGTTACTCCTGCAAAAACACATTTAAGTAGAGGTATACATTTTCTCCCTGATTTTACACTAGAAAGTAGAGATTTAAAAAGATTCTTACATATTTACCACGTGTTATTTATAGCTATATATCTTTGGAACATCATTTCCTAATCTCAAACTCCTGTTGACTCTAGTTTGAGTCCATTACAATAATAGGATCAATTCATTGTTGGTTGGGGTCTTTTTTTGGAATTTGTTGATGTTAAAAACATGCTCACACCTTTTTCTGAATAGTAAAAAGGTGTGTGCAGTGTGTGTTTGAATCAGGTGTCTCTAACTCTGGTCTCCCGCAGCCTGGAGCTCTGCCAGAAACCGCTCAGGACAGCCCGCTGAAGAGACAACAGGTAAGTGAAGCCTTTCCTAAAACATACACAGATAACCCAGACAGGATTTTCTGTGCTTTGAAAACTGAGAGACCGTCAGCTCTATTTAAAAGAAAAATGGAACAAAGTTTGCACCAACACTGTATGAGTAATAGTTTGCCATGAACTCTGGAAATGCATAAAAGTCAAGAGACAGTTCTCTTTTTTTCTTGTTTTTAGTATATTGCTTTGGAGTTTAACTGTACAATATTCAGACATAGATATTACATTTTAGTGCCATAATCAAAAAGAGTATTCTATCTGAAAGTACCATTTTGAGCAGATGTGAATAATTCAGCAGAAATAAATCCATTGTAGAAAAAGCCAAAGAAACAAATATGTCCATTGACAGCACTTTCTACAGTGGAATAATATTCTGGCTTGTAAACACTGAAAGTCCTCACTAGTGGATAATAACATTGGATGTTTCTTGAAGGAACCAGATAATAATTCACTTATTTGATCATTGTGTTATTACCTTCTTTCTTTAGCCGCCAACCGAGAAGGAGGACAACCGCATGAAGAACGTTCCCGTCCCGGTGTACTGCCGTCCTCTCGTAGAGAAAGACCCCAACAGGAAGGTGAGCAGTTCAGAGGATTAACGTTTTATGGGATATGATGAACAACAGTAACTCTAATCAAAAATGTATCGGCATGTTCAATCTTCTCTGGGCACGGACACTTTGACATTAATCAGCAGAAACAGGAAAAGTTACCCTCAAAAAATCTGAGTTTAAAACATATGACTACAAGAGGATTGGTCACAATGAGGCTTCATTAGAACAACGCAGTCTTTGCTCCTGAATACAAATAATAAAAACGACACCGCGCAAGTCATCCAAGGGTCAGGTGGAACTTTATTCTCTGACTATTTACACGTTTTTCAAATATGCGTGTGTGTGTTTGTAGTTGTGGTGTGCAGCAGGTGTGGACCTGACGGGATGGAGGGCCAGCTACCAGGAGTCGGAGTTAGCCAAAGCTCCGTCGGGGGGCAGCGACCCTCTGCATGCTGAGGAGAACGGAGGAGGCAGGAAGAGCAGCCACACCTCCCCAGAGAAGAGGATGGTAGAGTAACACCTGTCATATTACTTGAGTAAAGTCAAAGCTGGTATTGTACACTCAACTAGAAATACATGTGGAAGAATCATATTAACAGCCTGCATGGAGTTGAAACTATTTTTCAGTTTTTGTGATTGTGGTAAACCCTGTTCTCTTCCCCCTCCCCTCCCCAGTCGAAGGAGCTGCAGGAGACGGACACCATGAGCAGCAGAGTGTGGATCCTCACCAGCACCCACTCTGCCAGTAAGGTGGTGATCATCGACGCCAACCAGCCGGGCTCGCTGGTCGATCAGTTCAACGTCTGCAACGCCCACGTGCTCTGCATCTCCAGCGTGCCAGGTGAGGCGGAGAGCTGGTGTTAGGGAGAGGCGCTACAGGGACATTTGCTGAAATGTGGGCTATCTTGCTTACATAACATGTTTTCTTTTTGATTAATGCAAAGAAAGCATGCACCATAGACACTAAGGTGCTCATTTCACTGCACTTAACTATTTGCATCAGTAGATTTTACATAGGTTCACCAAAAGGTAGCAAGGTAGGTACGTTTTCATCTGGGTGATATTAGTCAAAATGTTTAAAAACCCTTATAGTTGCAATTGTATACATCTGGTATGATAAAGAGTGAGGCCTTTTGTATTTTTAATTGAGTTGTTACTGAAATGTTGTCTTTTTTTAGAGTCTGAAAAACACAAAGTGCAAACAGACATCTCTTATTTACTGCTAGTCATCAGATTGTGAATCAACAGTTGAGTGTGAGTGAAGTTGTCATCGGATTTGTATCATTGATTCAGAAAAGTGTTTTTACCTGCGCCTTATTTTTCTGCCGAAGAATATCCCTGAATATGTACTGCAAACACTTTGTTGTTGTGTTTACAGGGAGAAAGTGTGTGTTAATGTGTGTGTTTGTTGTGTCCAGCTGCCAGTGAGAACGACTACCCCCCCGGAGAGATCGTGTTGGACCCCGGTGACGGGGGGGTCGGGGGAGCGGGCGATGACTCGGGCAGCGTGGAGGGCATGCTGGCCGGCATCACGCTGGTCGGCTGCGCCACCAACTGCAGCGTTGCCCGTAGCAACTGCTCCTCACGCACTGACACGCCCATCATGGACAAAGGACAAGGTGGGCTCAAAGCTCCTGCACGTTATCATCATCACAGAGAGATGTTAAGACCACTGGTTTGTGTATTATTTATACTAGGGCTGCTCAGTTTTTGCAATTTGCAATATCCAAATCCCAGTAAACGCAATATTTGTTAATAGCTGTATATTTGAGAATATCAATCTGAGGCTTATTAAAAATCATATTTCCATTTTTCTTTTTTTAAATGTCTGTTATTTTAGTATTTGTTGTTCTTAAAGTTTGCTATCATTATTGAATTTTATATTGGTCTTATGTTTTCTATAAAATAAGCCCAGTGGGTTTTCTGCCTCTTCCTGCACTGATTATCATTCGGTATCTGTTATGTTTGTGTATTTTTTAATTGTGCAAAACAATAAAATACAAATACAAAACGCAAGTCGTATCACAATAGCAATATTAGTAAGAATATTAACAATTAGTAATTTGTTCTAAACTGCGCTGCTTTAATTTCAACAATCTTGTGCTTCTCCAGCCCCCACCACCCCCCCCATGAATGGTAAGATCCACCCCGCCCAGTCGGCTGAGGAGGCGACGGAGGCCACCGAGGTCCCCGAGTCCACGGCGAGCCACGGAGAGCTGAGGTCGGGACCCCCGGGACCCTTCACTGAGCACGTCTTCACCGACCCCCCGCCCCGCCTCTCAGACGCCTCGGACAGGTGGGAGCCAGAGCCTGGGACTCAGGAGGGTCCGGGGTCCGATCCCTGACCTCTGAGTCAACATGTTGAAGTTTGGTTAAGATGCTGAACCTCACATTGCTACAGATTGCATGGCTAATGGTTTGTGTGAATGTTAGTCACTCCTGTTAAGAAAGGTAGCGTCTGCCTCTATATATAATATGTGTGTGAATGGGTGAATTGACATATTGTTAAAGCGCCTTCGAGTGGTTGCAAAAACTAGAAAAAAGTTATTTACAAATGCATTTAATTTACCATAACATAAAGACAACCATCAGGAATGTCATAAACAAATGTTTATAGCATGAAACATAAAACCCTATAACCTTTCCAACATTAGCACAGCTGGGAGTGATTCTACCCAAAGAGCAAAACAAATATATTTTACTTACCACCAGCATTAAAACATTATATTTATCATTTGTTGTTATGTTCAACTCAATGACAATGTATACTTTAAGCTACAGTGATTGTTTTTTCTAAACATATAGAAGACAATTACAGAAGTGAAATGGTGATTGGTGAAGCTTCGAAAACAGTTTGAATGAAGTGAAAAATATAGTACTGCAGTTGTTTTTAATTGTGAAACATAAGTTTGTATTTCGTGTTTTCCCACAGGAGCTCAGGTCAATCCAAAGAGGAATCTTCCCAGCCTTCAGAGTCTGAAGACGGGGGTGAAGACACCAGGAACTACACCAGCGTGGCCCCCACCATGTGGCTCGGGGCCCAGAACGGCTGGTAAGTCGCTCCGCAGAAGTACTCCAGACTTCTGCTGAAGCCACACAAAAAATATAACACATTTCCAAAAAGGTACACGCTGGATATCCAGCGTGGATTCTTTCTGGTTCTTTCCTCAAAAGAACCAGAAAGAGTGCTTATATCTTCCATCCTTTATACATACTCTTGTCTCTTGAACTCTGTATGCAGTTTGGTTTTGCTCTGCAGTATCTTGCCTCTGTTCTCCTTCAAGGCTCTACGTCCACTCAGCGGTTGGAAACTGGAAGAAGTGCCTCCACTCCATCAAACTCAAAGACTCTGTGCTCAGCCTGGTGTAAGTGCTCGTTGTTAAACTCTGTTATTGTTTGCATAATGTTGTGTAGTTCAGAAGTCTTTCTGGGATTTTCTGTCACTGCAGCAGTCTCATCTCTTTTCTAATTGCAGACATGTGAAAGGTCGTGTGCTGGTCGCCCTCGCTGACGGGACCCTCGCCATATTCCACAGATCAGAGGGTATTTGGGGTTTTAAATATATTTTTTAAAGCAGAGTACATAAACACTGAAGTTCTAGGTTGTTTGGTGGAACAAGAAAAACTAAATTCAGGATGAAAAATCGTGGATTTACAGGAACACAGAGTAGAGCTGAATGCTTAATCAAATAATTTCAATGCATTTTTTAAAGACATTATATAGACCAAACAAGGTTTTAAAAAATATCTGTTAGTTGCAGATCTAAAACAGGTGTAGGTGAACTTTTGTTTAACAATCAACTGTTTCTGAAAAGCTTCTATCAAGGCTTTATCACAGTCCTGATGATGAAACACTAACTGTGAAAAATGCTTTCAGTAAGTCCTGGAAAAATGTAAGAAGAAAGTGTTAATAAACAATAGATTAGTTGTTAATGTAGGTTTGGTTTTGTCCCCAGATGGCCAGTGGGATCTGTCGAACTACCACCTGATGGACCTGGGTCGGCCTCATCACTCCATCCGCTGCATGGCTGTGGTCCACGATAAGGTTTGGTGCGGATACAAGAACAAGATCCACGTCATCCAGCCCAAGAGCATGCAGATCGAGGTGAGGAATAAATCCACGTGAGGTTATTGTTTGTCGAATTTCATAGGTTTACCCGCCAGCTCTTATTATAAGTCCATAATAAACTATGTATTCAAAATAAAGACATTCAGATCATAAAAGACAAAACAATCCTAATTTTAACTCAAATGTTTGATCATATAGCAATCAGGCTACATCATAAAATAGCATATTGCATATTGCAAGTGCTGCACAATGGTTAAGTGTAATAATACTGTTTTATTGATCCACTCCTCTTCCTCACTCTGTAGAAGTCCTTCGACGCCCACCCTCGCAGGGAGAGTCAGGTGCGGCAGCTGGCCTGGATCGGAGACGGTGTTTGGGTCTCGATCCGCCTCGACTCCACGCTGCGTCTCTACCACGCACACACACACCAACACCTGCAGGACGTGGACATCGAGCCGTACGTCAGCAAGATGCTGGGTGAGAGATATTGGCTTTGTTTGAGAGAGAATCTATGGACACCTGGGCTAATTTGGTTGCTAAATGTAAATTATTCTGGTGTTATTTTCTCACTGACAGGCAGCCCTTCTCAGTCTTCATATGTTCTCCACTGACTCTGGTTTTGATTCACAGGTACTGGCAAACTGGGCTTCTCTTTTGTGCGCATCACGGCACTTCTGATTGGTGGAAATCGTCTCTGGGTAGGAACTGGAAACGGCGTGATCATCTCCATCCCACTGACGGAGAGTGAGTTTAAATTGTTCAGTTTACAACACGTGACTCAAACCATCTGTCATCAGCTTTGATTTCATTTAAAGTCCTAACAGTGAGAGCAGTGACTGTCTAATGACTAAAAAGGTCACCTTTATTCTGTCAGCAAAACCTGCAACATCTCAATCCCTATTTTAAAAAGTTCTTTAGGGAGTGATCAGCAGTAAATCCAATTCTAATCCTTTTTAAATCATAGTCTTTCGTTGCTCTTAAAAGTCTTTGGGGCGTAAGTTACTTCTGCTAAGGAGGAACATGTTTAGATGTGTTAGTCTGTCTGGATGTTACTTAGCAGAATATCTCAAATACTTTTTGTTTTAAAAAGACTGGGGGAGAAATCTGAACCCAGCAGCCACCATGTTGTCACTTTACATTTCAGCTTCAATACTGAACATGATATATGTATACATAATATACAAACATGATTTCTTCCGGACTTTTTTTCTAGATTCCTTAGTTTGAGACAAATAGGCCATGACTTCGCACATTTCTTTGCTATTTAGAACTGTTTTGATTATCTTAAATTCAGCTAATGGAGAGACTTAAACCCAAACAGAGGGTCTTATTCCTCACAGATCTATTCTCTTCTTTAGCATACTCCCCCTGCCTCTTGATCTCCCTCTTTACACCTTCTTTTTCCTGCCTCCCCTCAAGGGTTCCCCCTCGTTCACAAACAAACTTTGGTCATAACTATTACTACTGTCCTCTTTCTCCTTCTCCTCCTCCTTCCTCCCCCCCTCCGCCTCCTGTAGCGGTGGTCCTTCACCGGGGACAGCTCCTTGGTTTGAGGGGTAAGTGGGAGCGCTCCCCCCCCCCCCCCCCCCCCCCCCCCCCCTGCTGTTATCATCTACCTTCTCTTGCCCAGTCAAACCCTCATGCCCCCTGAAACATTGAGACGTGTGCAGAATATGGCTTCCTGTGTTTTTATGCCATATTTTAGGGAGGATGTTTAAAGTGGAGTTGCATGAGGTGACTCTCTATAATCAGTGTGTTGGTGCAGTAGATGACGAAAGTTAAGCAATGTACTGCTGTAGACTTGGTATCAGCAAACCCTGACCATTAAATTGACCATTATATTGACATAAAATGGAAATCTGCCTTTGCCACAAGCATATAAGAAAGCACAACATACAGTTAACACACAATACCCAAAATGTTGCACCTTAAAGTCTAAAAGTTACTTAGTGGTAGTCATAAAACGGACTAAGTGGATTGTTCTTCATGTAGGCCATTATCCCCACAGAACATGATACTCAGTAATATTAACAATCAAGATAAATATATATTATGATGTGTGTGTGTGTGTGTGTGTGTGTGTGTGTGTGTGTGTGTGTGTGGTGTGTGTGTGTGTGTGTGTGTGTGTGTGTGTGTGTGTGTGTGTGTGTGTGTGTGTGTGTGTGTGTGTGTGTGTGTGTGTGGTGTGTGTGTGTGTGTGTGTGTGTGTGTGTGTGTGTGTGTGTGTGTGTGTGTGTGTGTGTGTGTGTGTGTGTGTGTGTGTGTGTGTGTGTGTGTGTGTGTGTGTGTGCTGCCGCCCCGGTCCACAGCAGTCCACATTGCTTTGCATCCATTGGAACTCCTGTTTCCCCAAAAGGCGAAAACCTCATAAAACCCAACTTCAAACAATCCAAACTCCCTTTTAAAATGTGAACAAAACCAATATTGAACACTTAAAGGTGGGGTAGGTAATTTCGGAGAAACCAGCTTGAGTGCGCTAGAATTTGAAAATACACAACCGGAGAAAATCTGCCACTTCCTTACAGAGCCCCTCCTCCAACACACACGAACGCGCACATGACCAATGAGGGCACGAGATAAGTTTGTGCACAGATGGAAGGCTGACAGGCAGGTAGGCCATCCAGTTATTTTAGCCGGGCCGGCTAAAATGATTGGTCGTGCTTTTTACAGTACTACGGCTTCCACAGATGACATTTTTTTTATGGATTTTTTGTCAAAGCACTTAAGATATTCATTGCTATCGGGATGTTAAGAGCATTCCATGGAATATAACAAAAAGTGTCTCTCGAGCCGGTTTCTCAAACTTACCTACCCCACCTTTAATTGATTCTCTTTTATCTATAAAGGTTGAAATTGTGTGCAATGGTTTTACCTTTTACTGTCTATCAAGACGGTGCTTCTGCTCATTGGTTGCTTTGCATGTTATTTATCATTGAGCTTCACTGCATCAATGACGAAAGCTTCTTCTGTGTGACGATCCACTGCATGTACGGGATGTGTTTCAGCCGTCTAAAATCATTTCTCCTTTTCAGTTGCTCTATGGAAACATGTGGATATTGTGGGTGTTTTATTTTCTTATTTCGCCTGTGTCATGCTACCACTTATGATTTGCCGGTAATCCTTCAGAGTTGGTTAGTTCCTCACCCCTGGGTTCTTCCTCCCTCAGCCAATAAGGTGTCTCCTACGTCGTCCAGCGGGGTGATCCATGTGTACGGAGACGACGGCTCTGAGAAAAGCTCCGGCAGCTTCATCCCGTACTGCTCCATGGCTCAAGCCCAGCTGTGTTTCCATGGACACCGCGATGCTGTCAAGTTCTTCGTCTCTGTGCCCGGTACGCACAGAGCCCGACTGTACCACTAACACACACATGTACCCGACTTCTCTTCTAGTTTTGAACCTGTTTTTGTTCCTCCAGGTAATGTCCTGGCCACGCTGAACGGCAGCGTGCTGGACAGCCCGTCGGAGGGTCAGGGGTCAACAGCGCCCGTAGAGACGGAGACTCAGAGCGTTCACAACGTGCTGGTGCTGAGCGGAGGAGAGGGATACATCGACTTCCGCATAGGTGAGCAATCACACCTGCACATGAACCTGATGACACACACACACACACACACACACACACACACACACACACACACACACACACACACACATACACACACACACACACACACACACACACACACACACACACTACACTTACACAAACACCCTCAGTGAAACTTGCAGCACACCACTGAGCTCTGACAAAAAAGTATAAAAAAAGACCTGAAAGGGATCGTGTACTTCCAATATGGTAACTTCAATAATAATAATAAGACCTATGTTATATACATATATGTTTAGTTGTGTAGTTATACCAATTGTTTCCATCGATGATTTTAGTCAAGGTTGCAGTATGTTTTATGTGGTCGACCTAAATGGCGTCTGCCACTCATAAATGTACTTTTTAAATAATGTATTTATGTTTGTTATTATAATTCTCAACAGCATCAACTACTGTGTGATTAAACATTGTGATAAAAGCCAAATTGTGTTTACAAATGTCCTTTTTTTTTAGGTTACCCCTTCTGAAAATGAAACACTTCTTTAACATTATCGTCAACACAATAATGTTTACTGTTGTTATTGTGAAATTAGATCTCCAAAGTATTCTGTTTATGTTTCCCTCAGGCGACGGCGAGGACGATGAGACGGAGGAAGGAGACGCTGCTGTTGCCGTGGCTACTGGAGCCTCGCAGGTCAAACCGGCTCTGTGTAAAGCTGAGCGCAGCCACATCATCGTGTGGCAGGTGTCCTACATCCCTGAGTGACACACACACACACACACACACACACACACACACACACACACACACACACACACACACACACACACACACACACACACACACACACACACACACACACACACACACACACACACACACACACACACACACTCTCCTCCTCCTGCCCCCTAAAGCTTCCAGCCACCCTTGTAATTATCCCATGTCATGTAAAAGTCCCCCTTTGGCTCTAAAACGACCCTCCAAGCCGTGTATTGTAACTATTATCTCCCCTCCTGCCCCGTCACCTTGTAACTTTAATGCCTTGTAAGTACCTCCTCTGATCTAGTAATCTGCCTGTTTCTGCCCCCCCCCCCCCCCCCCCCCCCCCGGGCATTGTTACTATCTTCATGAGCCTTGTAACCCAGCCTCATAACTACCTCCCTTATATTCACCCTTTGAGCACACTGTATCTCCTCCTATATTGACCTCAATTGTCCTGCATCTGCCCCAAAAGTTACTCCCCCTCCTCTTCTTCCTCCACTTAGTTTCTCATATGTAAAGCCTCCACCTCGTCTTAAAGCAAAAGCCCAGAGCCCCAACATGTATCAATTGTACCAACAAATAAACAGCAGGCACAGAAATGTGAATTTGTCTGGTTTTAATAAAGCCAAGTATCAATTAGTGATAATCCACGTTTTTAGATGGATGCAGTTGTCGGGTTTTTAAGGATTGACACTCTTTGTCAAATTGAGGCAGCAAACTCTTCAAGATTGTAGTGGATGTCCAGAGTTTCATATTTTATGACGAAAATGAAACTAATAGAAAGTCTAAATTACGACTTTATTGTCTGGGCTTTTTTGGCTGCTACCCTAAAATATTTTGCATCCAATCACGTCTATTTAGAGTCTTGAAAAAAGGCGCTTGCTCATTTTATACCCTGATAAAAATGTAAAAACCCCCATGAGGATATAAATGACTTATTTTGCGAGGAAATATCTGGTGCCTGATGTAAATTAAAGAGTTGTCGTTAAGCCAGGGGAAGGGGCGGTGCTTAATGTGTGGAGGGTCTCTCATCTGACTGGCTGTTGATCAGGCGGTTCGTTGTAAAGCAGGTGAACAGTGATGTCCTCATTACGTGTTCAGGGATCATTGTAAAAGACATTCTGAAGCCCATCCTCTTTGTTCAGTATGGAAATTCATGCATTGATCTCCATTTGTGTGGATTAAATATTAAACATATGTGTGCTGAAAAAAACGTATGAGTGATGTGTGTTTACTTTTCAAACACAGAAACAAAAACTGGCCACACATTTTTTTTAAAGAGTTTCTTTCTTTATTGTTGATTATTACAATACAAACCCATACAGCATGATGGGATTTTAAAAAAGCAGCTTTTGGAGAACTTTATAAAAACAAATATTATTTTATTTGGAAACTTAGCCTGATATACTATTACATATATTACAAAATAAAGCTCCTTTTGAAACTTGTAACATTCAAGTAGTCCCACCCCTAGAGAGCCTGAATTTAAAAAGTACAATACAATTCCTGTGTGAAGGAAGGCATTCATTGTGTAGGGTCATTCCTCCCATGGGGTTGGGATTTGTATTGCAAGTACCATTACCAGAGCACCGTGAATAAGAAAAGATTCTGCTGATTTGAACAACAATAAAATACTTTGCACATCACATTAAAGGTTAATTTATTTTCTAAATAAATTAACCTTTAATGTTGATTAAAATGCAGCCATTTACTTGTCATTCCCTGATGCGTTGCCCATAATGAACATTTATGAATCGAGACATTTTATTGCTCCACATTCATAGCTTATTGCTTAAGAAACGTAAACACGAGTTTGTGTTCTAGACAAAACAAAGAAAACTGTAACGGAAGCAGACAAAGAATTATTGGACACTTGATTGCTTTATAAAGCCCTTTTACCTTAGAGATATAGTCAAGATTGAGATCAAATTAATGTTAACCCTTAGATGCATAAGTGGGTCTTTTTTGACCCGGTGAGGTGGTTTTCTTGAAGTATCTTTGTAATTACATTTTTGTATCATTTCATATTCCAGCTATTCCTCAAAAAACATGTTTTGGATATCATGCCATTCAAATTTTAAATTTTAATTTTAAGAAATTGTAGTTTTTGTATTACTACCCCAAGCTTCCATAAGTGGGTCAAAAATGACCCGCATGCATTTTCTATGGGATCCTCTGGGAACCTTTGATTCTTATCACCTGTTGCTGTCAGGAATACATTCACTGTAGACCACACGGACTACATCACACGTGACACCTCTCAGGAAGATTATTTTACATAGTAAGATCGGATACCTGTCAGTATAATAATAATAATAATAATAATAATTTGATCAACCGGCATGGATTGATGGGGGGTGGGCTATGAGTAGACAAGAGGAGAAGAGATGAGTTTTGAAAAGGGACTGGAATACTGTGAGGGTCTCAGAATAGCGGAGATCTTTGCATCAATATGTTCAAAACGTTTTTTTTCAAAATGTAAAAAAAAATTCTAAAATTCTAAATAGTGAAAAATTAAATATAAAATATTTCTAGTGTGAACCAAAATATAATACTAAATATTATAAAAGTGCTTTTTCTTAACCAAAATGACAAAAATGGCATAAAAACATATATTATTCTAATACGGGTCCTTTTTAACCCACTTATGGAAGAGTGTAGGGTCCAGTCACTCGTGCATCTAAGGGTTAATAAAAAGATCCATCCATGACACCTCGTCTCCCTTGGGTCTACAAGCTACTAAAGCCAAATAAGATTGATCTGAGGTACGATGGGATCTTGCATAAAGCTTTGTGTCAGCAGCAGGACGGTGTAATCTCAGCAGGGTTTCAGTAGATCCAGCGGCTGCTGCTGTCCTCCCAGCAGTGCAGCTCGTTGTGTCGAAACCACAGAGAGATTTCCCTCTGAGCGCTCGGCACCGAGTCGCTGCCGTGGATCACGTTCCTGCAGAGCAGAGAGGAAACAGAAACAGGTTCAGGACATGTGTGATATACACAGTGATAAATGTTAAGGCCTAACAAGTTTATAATAAATACAATTGTAATTTTTTTACTGTTCATAAAGCCTGCATAAAACAACATAAGAGCACGGTGCAAAGTATCTAGATGCGCAGGGATGACGTATCTTTGTAGGCCGACCCGGAAGTAAGCTGCGCATGGGTTCGCTCGACAAAAAAGCAATGAGATTTCTCCATAGGATTTTGGAATATTGTAAAAAATAAGATCTGTGGACGAACCTGTTTAATAATAAGATAAACGTTTTGTTCAGCCGGATGATCTCCACATGTCTACCCTACTTTTATAATTTTCGAATCATAAATCTAATCGCCAGAAGCAAAATGCTAACATTATGCTATAAACGAACTACAGCAGGGTCGCACAACTTCCACGTCACGCCAACTTAAGATCGATATTCAAAAATACAGATTCAAAATTGTACAAGTTGAAGCGTTTGTTTTAACAGTTTGCAAGAGTGCAGGTTCGGCGTAATGACGTACAACGTCCTCGACAACTTCTGTAGTCCTATTCAGCCACTTGTTAACAACCATCGTTTTTCAGACACGTAAACTCTTCAGAAATCACCAGTGGGGTCACTGCTGATGTATTTAATGTCGTAGAACAAAACGTGATCCGTCTCTTGAATTTGTGTCAACCACAGACCTTATTTCTAGCTATTTTAAAATTATAAAATTATAAAATGCTAACTCACTTCCGGGTTTTAGGACTCGTTCCTGCACCACAAACTGTATTTTCCTCACGGCAGACACACATTAATAACATCCGCTGGTGCATCATAAATATGTCGGATAGTGTAAGTGCAGTTGGATTCTCTTGATGCCCGGTCGTCTTTTCCTAAGTCCTTTTGAATTCTCCTAACCACCATTCTTTAACCCTGTGATGTTTCACACAGAGGTCAAGGATTAGTAGTTAGGAAAAGACGATGGAGGAGCTGATTTTTGGACAATTTGACAGCATCGCTGTTCTTCTTACCGTCCCACTTCCACGCAGTAATCTCCTCGGATGGTTCCAGGCAGAGAGTCAGCGGGGTTGGTCTCTCCAAGCATCTTACGTGCCGTCTTGACCACGTCCAAACCCTCCCACACCTGAACACACACGGAAATGTACGTGACTACATGCCAAATCAAAAGCCTTCTGAACATCTGTAAGCCTTTAGTGTGGTGTGTAAATTAGGTGTACAGTATGGGGGGAACTCACCATGGCTACGATTGGTCCAGAGTTCATGTAGCTCACCAGCTCTGTGAAGAACGGTTTGCTGCTCAGGTCCTTGTAGTGTTCCTTCAGGAGGTCCTCTGACGCCTGGCACACAAAACAGACACATGATCAAATAAAACATAAAAACGATCCTTCATTTATTTCATTATCATTCATGTTTGTTGATTTATGATTTATGAAGCCCTCAGAGACAAATGTGTTTTGTGATATTGGGCTATAAAAATATTTGAATATATAAAAATATTATATCAATTTGAATTGAATTGAATAATGTTTTAAAGTGAGTATGAAAAGGCTTTTGATACCTGCACTAGTTTGAGGCCCACCAGTTTGAACCCTTTCTTCTCAAAGCGTTGTGTGATTTCCCCCACCAGTTTCCGCTGCACGCCATCTGGCTTCACGGCGATGAAGGTGCGCTCGCTCACACCGGTCAAGACTGGAACCAGAGATAAAGTGCGGCAAAGGTTTGATGAAAGCAAACCAGTGAACGACAACGCCCACCACACACAACCTGGAGAAGCTGGCATGCACCTCGGTAAGGATGGAACATTATGGAATAGTATTTAATAGTGGATTATAATTTTAAAATATATTTTATCCATCAGAAAAGGCACTAAAATCTAATGGAAAGAGGCGTGTCCTTCTCTCCTGGTGTAGTTATACAATTCTGCATTGATTTGGACTCATAAGCTCATGATATGGAAGTTATTGAAATACATTTTTTGGTTTTTTAGAAGTGTGTTGTCCAGTGTAGTGGTACAATGCTGCATTGATTTGGAGCGACTGGTTCAAATTAAATGAAGACCTTTCATTAAATAGAAATGTAGATTTTTCATTAGTTAAGAACAATTTTCATTCAAATATTCATATAAAAACAGGATGCGGACTAAAATCAAATATTAGGATTTGTCTTTTGTACTTTCAATTGTACTTGTCAGATCTGGCATGGATTTTTAGTCACTGGCTCACATGACATGGAAGCTTATTTAACTGTGATCTTTGATTGAAATATTTTCATGACTCATCAGCAAACAAAAATTATGAGCCAAAAAGACACATAATTATACTTTATGCATAATATTCATTAACATTGGGAAGTTAGCACAGAGGTACTGGTTTTGTGTAATTCAAAAATAACTCTATTGATGCTTCCCAAGTGAAACCCTGATGGGGGGTGAGGATTTGAACTAGCCGTCCTCTGTGGAAAAATATCTGGCTGATATCCAATCTGAAACTAACTTTAGAGTGCAGACATTAGTGTCTAATCCACTTCAAGACAGTCAGTGTTACACGCAAAGACTGTACATATAACGGTTACACAGCATATGTTTTGCTGCAGACTCTGGATACACACATGCAGCAGTGCACACACAGGTTAGAAGTAAAAACAACTAATAGAAAAACTACATATGTCCTCACAAATGTCATGTCATTTTAGATCAACAGCGTCTCAAATATTACTTTCAAGTCTTCCCTAGCAGTCCCCTCACTGTTAGTCACACAACAAGCAGAGTGTATTTACCCTGCATTTTGACAGTTTCTGCAGAAAACCCCTCACTCACAGCACGCCTAAATCTCTGTCATTTTAACCTATAATGCGTCTCACCAGATTCTTTAATCCGTGCATGTTTAACCACGAAATCGTCCAGTTCATGCAGATCTCTCTTTGACCTTTTCCTCGGCCCCATGGCAGTGCAGCAGCCCGTCAGCAGCGCACTGTCACCGGGGATAATTATAGGATCAGGAACTCTACAGGAGACACATGGACCACTACCGGTATGAGTCAAAAGTAGCCACGACTCACGAGTGAAGCTAAAGTAGCTAACAGTAGCTCACACTGTTAATAGTTCAACTCCAAAGCCCAGAGACCTTACTCTTTAATTTTAACACACAGTTAGTTACAAAATCAAAGTTAGTGAAGGTTTCATGACTTGTTTCACCAGTTAGCTTCGTGTAGCTAGCAGTCTGTCCGGGGAGTTAGCATCTCCTGCAGAGTGGAAACTGTGAGCAACTGTGGAAGTTAAACTCAATGACAATGAATAAAACATAAACAAATAAACAGATATATCACCAACCTGTCTGGAGGAAGTAGGAGAATACGGACAGAAACAGGCAGATCATTGTTGAAGCTGGACGGAGAGTTTCTCTGAAGAAGAAGGAAGACAGACAGGAGGACAGAGCGCGGGCACGTAGCTGCTCAAAGCGCGGGCACGTGTGTAATCAGTCTCACGAGTAGCAAAACATATGCAAATCTGTCCATTGCGCGAAAATTAAGGAAAAAAAGGCAGTTTTTTTTCTAGTCTAAAAGTTGCTATGTTTTTTTTTTTATATTTCATGACATGCCATTACTTTTTATGAGAAATGTATTATAAATTCATGGCTTTTCATGACAATTATATTTTAACTTTTTCAAATATTGTTATAGCATACCATGCTCTGATTTTTAATGACATTTTTAATGAAATGTCTGTATAACATTATATCCTATGACTTTTTGTCATAATTTTTTATGACACCACCACCACTGCCGCCTATTGTTGTACGGTGAGGCTCAGGGTAGCAGGGAAAGTTTGCTGGAAAATAAGGCAATACAAGTTATCCAGTTATTATATCTTAGCATGTTATAATTTATCTCAAACCTTATTAATTGAGATTTTATCTCATAATTTGACTGAAATCACCCTAATGAAGTACTCTAGGAGTCTAGATAGTCTACTATGCAGGAACAAATACATCAAACAACACTTTCCATCTTATCTTTAATAATTAATATTTATCACATTACACAGTTACATTACACACAGAGAGCCTGCTTCAGATGTAGATAGAACTTCTTTGAGTCCAGGATTCGTCAGAACATTTAGGCGAGGTCTCCCAGTGTACTTTGACAGAGGAAGTTATGACTTCTTTCAAATCTCATTGGTCCATAATGTCCAAGATTTTCATCTTTAGAAACCACGAGCATCACACCGGTGTTCCCTCTTTCCTCTGCGCTGCTTTTTCCTGTTCGCGGAAATAGTCTTTGTTGAGCAGGACGTCCCTCCGTGAGGGCAGGGCCGGCTCCTCGGTGGCAGCGCTGCCGTGTGCCTTCTTGAACTGAGCCAGCATCATAGCGCGCAGCAGCGGAGGATACGGGACGTAACGCACCGGGGGCTCAGGCAGCGGCTCGAACTCCTTAAACTGCTGCTCCATATGTTTGGGAATCAGGCGCCAGTCGTGGTATATCGCCTTGTCCACCTCCTTGACCTCGCTCTCCTGTTTCCCTGCCAAGCACAAAATACAACAAATGTACTACATGCAGTTTGGTAAGAGAATAATAAGCGTTTACTGTTACATATACAATTATTTGTATCATTAATACTGATATACTTTAAAGATATCAAGATAAAATGCAAATACAAAATACTGTCGCTGTTTAAAATGGAATAAACAGGGTATCATTTTACCTTTTTGGGTGAGGATCCCCCAGGCTTTGCCATGATCCATGTTCTAGGAAGCACACAAACCAGGAGTCATTTTGTTACAGGTATCCGATCAAACCCCATGTGTGCCCAACACTCAACAGCGGCAGCAGTGCATGAATGTGTCTCCCTCTCACCTCAGCTGTGTAGTCCACCTTGACCTTAGTGATCTGCCAGTAGCTGGGCTCTGGATCTTGCTCCAGCCAGGACTTTCGGGTGAACATTCGGCCCACCCCGAACATCCTCATGCCGGCCAGCAGTGAGAAGAGGCGAGTCTCCCTGCGGACGTCCTGCCAGGCCAGCACTGGCAGCATCTTCCCGGTGTGAGGCCTCCTCAGGGTCTCGTAGTCCAGGGCGTACTTCTGAGACTCCCTGGGTCGGGACTTCAGCTCTCGGTACGCCCGGATCTTCCGAGCCATCTCCGCTATGAGGCGAGGTTGCTTTTTCTTCACCATGACTGCCTGGTGCTCAGCAGCTTCTACAGGAAACCCTCACTGATACACAGTGTTTATCCTGGAAGAGATTAAAGAGAGTTATGTAGCTTTACATCTGAACTATGCACGGGTTAGGGGCCTAAAACGTTCAGTGGTGGGAAAAGTACCCAGATCCTTTCCTTAAGTAAAAGTAGAAATATTAGGGTCTTAAAATAATCCATTGCAAGTAAAAGTCGAGAGTTCAAAATGTTACTTAAGTAAAAGTAAAGTATTATCAGAAAAAATGAACTTATGTTTCAAAAGTAAAATTACTCAGTTTGCAGTTTCTTTTGAAAGTGTTATATTATTATAGAATATATATTATCCTATTTTTAAAACATTACAAATACACAGTATTTGTAATGTTTTAATTTGTAATTGTAGAACACACTACTACTTTACTACTGTAAAGTAAATGAGTGTGAGTGTATGTATATGTATATGTATATGTATATGTATATATATATATATCGTGTTATTTGTGTAAAATTAAGTGTCAAATAAATGTAATGCCATAAAAAGTACATTATTTCCCTTGGAATTCTAGTAGAGTAGAAGTACAAAGTAGCAGAGAATGGAAATACTCAAGGAAAGTACAAGTACCTTAACATTTTACTAATGTACAGCACTTGAGTAAAAGTAGTTACTTTACACCACTGAAAAAGGTATGTGGGTCCCAGGGCCAGACACAAAGTTTGAAGTCACTGTTACCTTACTGGGAAGTCAACTATATGAGCACAAAAGGATGCATAATGACCAAAGACCCACAACAAATACAAAACTATCTAATAAAAAGTTGTTAAACTACCACGTAGAGATGCAAAATAATCAAAACAAGACAATAAACTACCATAGAGAAACGTAAATGACCAAACGGAGATGCAAAACGACCAGAAAAATGTGGCTCTTGTTCTAACATTAGGAGCTTTAGGGGCCCATTAACTGTCTTTGCCCGGGGGCCTTTTGTGTAATTATCCGTCAATCTAACAGAAGCAGCTATTTGGTTACAGAAGAAAGTAATTCATGTCAGCATGGATCATCAGAGGAGAGAATAACATGTCCAGTCCTGATGCTAACTGTCTGTTAGCTAGCGTTAGATGCTAAGAACACTTCCTAAAATCCTTTACTACTCTGACACACACAGACCTATTGTCGAACTATTGATACTGTTTATAATTTGCAAATAATATGGAGTTATAAGTACCTGAATGTCCCTGATGAAAAGGACCAATGCGACTTGACCTCCGCAAGCAAGGTACACAACTTCCGCTCACTCGGTCCGCCCGCTAAGAGTTCCCCATAAACTGACTGCACTTTTGTTCCGCATGCGGGACATTTTAGTAGAAGAAACATTAATTATTGAACTGAAGGTTCTTGGAGAAATAACCGGTGCAGATCTTTTAGATAACATTTTATAATTAAAAAAGATTTACTACAAATGTCTAAATTCTAGTATTATAATTAATAATAATAATAATAATAATATATATATTATTATTATATTATATATATAATTATTATTATATATAATAATATATAATATAATTATAATAAGTATTATAATTGTCTAAGTACAAAGTTCTACTTGGTTTAAATGCAGTGTCCAACATATTATTACTACAGTAAATAATAGTTGTACTTTTGGCCTTTGTATTTTTAATCAGATTTAAACTTGATGTGGATTACAAACTGTGGACTTCAAGAAAGTGTCTCCGGGATGCATTTAACTAATTTAGAAAACGTATTTTACATGGACACTTGGCACTGTTGTGAAAGTGAACCAATACACTTTTTATTTTGACAACACGATACAACAAAGATTGTCATTTGTAATTCTGATGTGTATATCAATCAACTGGTGGTCCAATCCCAGGTCAATTTTCTTACCTTTTTCTACTACACTTGAGTAACAGCAATATTGTATGTAAAATGAAAAGTAAAAAGAAATACAACATTTTTTCGTTGACCATAAGACTTTGACATCTAGAAATAAACATTTCCCATGGTAGATAATAACAACATCCAGTTCTTTGAGCATATTTAGCATTCATTTTTATTTTCAGCTGAAAATCATGCTGATAAGTTATACAGAAAAAAGGCAAGTAAAGGCCTTCACATACAGTATAATTAATATGACGGGTATAGAAGACACGTAGAATTTTACTATTTACAGTACAACAGTAAGAAAAAGTGCTTAGATGCATCAATGTGAAGACCAATACTGTGAAATAAAACAAAAATATACATCTTTTTGATTACAACTAACCTCTTTGTAGTTACATTAGTAGATCTATAGTTACATCTGATAAATCAGACAGACTTAAGTGCGTCATGTCACACTACTCGTGATTAATGATCGTGGTCCTCTGGTACTTTCACTGCTGTTGTTTGTGTCAGAGCCTCCATCATAACATCCTAAAACACAGTCCTTCTGAAAACCATTATCCATAAGAGGCTGGTATTGCATAGTACCTTCATTCTTTGTGTACGTTCACTCAAACCAGGACCTCATCGGACTGATCAACGACAGGTGACTGAGGCAGTAGTTGGCAGACTGTAGCTTCAACGCCTCGGTCAAATACTATTTAAATACTTATATTTTGTATGTGTGAGTCCACAAAAGCTACATTGATTATTTACATATTTGACTCAAGGGTAACAATCCCCTTCTCAGCTATTCATGTCTAGAAACACTTGAATTGATCACAACTAACCCCCCCCCCCCCCCCCCCCCCCCCCCCCCCCCGCAGGCTTGAAAGGCGGCTGTAAAATGTTTGCATTTCACAATCAAAGCATCCAAAGATTGTCTGAAAACCACTCTTTCAGCATAATAAACATCTCTACTGCTCTTTCATGTGATCAATACATTCTAAAAGGGGATAGTAACTGTGACAACATATGTCTCAATCCCACCTTTAGTTGGAATTGTGATTGTCACCAGACAGTGGCCCAATACAGACACTGTTTTTTAGTTATAATCAAAAATATATAATATTGTCAGACACACACAGAGCTAAAACCTCAATATAACGGTGCAGGAGCTGTGTGGGAAGTTTTCTATTGTTATGGATTCATTAATCATTAGAATTTTGTTTGTGTGGACCACATTTCCCATTAATGGGGAAACAGGGAACTTTGTTCAGCCACATTTTAGGCCAACAGGGTCTGAGTGTTTCCTACAAAAATGATTTATAATAGAGTATGACCTTAATTACTTACAGTCAAGAAGAGTTGGTAAAGGACGTGAAGGGACAAGGCCAAAAGAACACACTTGCATAAACAGATCAGCACGAAACTGCTTATAATCACAGACTTTTTCAATGAAAGAAACGTACTTTTCAAAAAAGGTCTAAATAACCTATAAGGAGAAAGAGCCATGAGAACCTACCTTAAATGTGCGTATCTTATGAGTGGCATTCTGTCTCATAATCAGATTTAAAGGAGCTACACTTATTATGTATACAGCTTATATCTTTTAGAAAAGAGGAAAAATAACACCTAGCATGAGAATACAACAGGAGACTTACAAAAGCTGGCGACGGATGGATGTTGCCAAAAGTGTAACAAATATTTAAATTGTAACATGAACTAGATAATTAGAAAGAGGAATCATGTGTGTATGGGTTGATTGGAGATGATTGATGCCCCTTTTTGGAGCGCTAACAGCTATAAAATACATTCGGGTTCTTGAACCTACATTAAACATTTCTTACGTTTTTGATCTGTCTTAACATTTTGGACAGTTTTACCTTTAGCGCTGTAACATGAGGGTAAGTAATAAAAAATCCTCTATGACCTAAAGTGTGTCTCTCCACTTTGATTTGGCAATCTGACAAAAAACTGCAGATGCCAGTAAAACATGTAACAGATGACTTGGATAATGCATTGGTAGCATTGAGAACAACATACATAAATTGCATACATGTGAAAATATACAGTATCTTTTTTTAAACCCTCTTTTTTTGTGCAAATATACCATGATGACCACCAAAATGTGGCCATACTTGACTTCAGTGTTACACTGTACAGTCGGTTCCTGCACTCCTCATACATGAATGGCAACAACGTATGCTAGCTAACGAAATAACACCACACCTTTTCACGTATTACTGAAGCTGGTTTGGATAATAACGAGCATGGAGACATCTGAACGGCGTGAAGGAAGATCACAGTAAGATCGTGCGGGCAGAGATACCGCCGTCACAGCTTTCCACCTACGTACCGCTCCGATCCTTTCTTCAGATGTTGAGGAAAGCTGGAGGCAGGCAGGAAACACTCAGCCAGTGTTTAAGGAGAGGTAGGAGTCGAGCCGTCCATCATGTCCAGCGGCATCTCTTCCTCTGACAGGCTTCCAGGTCGGGCGTACAGCCCTCCTCCGAGTCACTCTCAGAGGACAGCGGTCCGGGCAGCGGGGGGGTCGGGCAACGCAGGCTCTGGCCCATCGGGGGTTTCTTCTGTGCTGCCGTTATTGAGACTGAGCACCCAGCCCAGTTTGTTGTGTAGCAGCTGACGAAGGCCCGGGGGCAGCGGCAACACGTCCAGGGTGTCGATGCAGTCCGGCAGCAGCTGGCGCAGGCGGGCGCAGCAGAGGTAGAGCAGGGAGGTGGGGGCGGAGCACGATCTGATCACCTTCATGCTGCTCTTCGCTGCCGTGGAGCACGCCATCGGATAAAACCTCTTGTTATGTAGCTCCGTGGCAGCAACACCTAGATAGAAAAATTGTGACATATTAGTGTGTAATATGTTGCAACAATACCACTCTGTGTACATATCAATAACCAAGTAAATGTGCACACAGGTAGGATACACAGGTCACTAAATCCTGCAGCAGGTACTATGTGTAATTTCTGAATAGTGCTTTCACAAACATACCATCACTTTATATGCTGTTCATTAGAAAATATATTTCCTTCTAAAACAATATTGTGTGTCATATCATTGACTTGTTTAGTGAAGTTGCCATGTAATTAGTGAGCTTATGTACAGTGTCATTATTAGGTCAGGGTGATTAAAATAATTCCTACATTACCCTCTCATGGTTCAATTAGAAAAGTATTACATGCTCGCTGTACAATATATTTGATAAGTTTCATACATATGGTCCTAAGAAAGCTTTGTAAAGCTTAAGAAATAATTTGTTGAGGTTTATATGTGATTATGGATACAGTGATCCGATATGCCAAATCAGTACCATCAATTTTTTAAATGTCATAACATTTTGTGGTCTGCTATGAGGAAGGCCACCCTCTCAGGCTTCAGGCCACAGTATTCTTTGCTTATTCTTACATAAAGACAATGCTGATATTGAGCTATATGGCAGAGCCTGATTGATATATGAAGGTATTAGCTTTTTGGAGTTATGGTACAAGGATTTTCAGTACAGGAATGCCAAACTACATTAGGTAATTTAAAAGGTATATTCATTACATAGTTTGTCGCCAAAGGAAAACTGACAAACTCCACCATTCATATAAGGATTGTTTGATTACGTCATGTGTTGTTACTAACCTATGCATTTGCGGTTTTTGAAGAAAGTGAGTGTGCCGTGCCACGTGTCCAGATGGACTCCAATGATGGACCCCTGTCCGAACCGGGAGGAGAAGTTTGTCTTGTCTCCTTTGTGATGCAACAAGCCTGAGCGAGGAAAAAAAAACATTGATTTATGCAACAATCCCTGAGAGCAGTGAATGCTACATCACAGCAAGTTGTGTTATTCTCACCTGTGTAAGAAAGACCCCAGCTGTCTGTGTCTTTTCCCAGCAGGCTGCAGAACGTGTGTCTGAATTTGTCTAGATTGACATCAGAGGTACCGATGCCAACCATCTGTAAAGACATAAAGAACAATATAGACATAAATAAACCTCAACTTCCACACACTTTTACTCTTTATGTGACACAAGATTTTCATCGACATAACTACACTGTAGCTATGTTCGTTTGACAAATAAAGAACCTTGAACCTTGATGTGGGTTTCTGTAATGAAACAGCAGGTCAGTGTTATAAGGTAAAGGCATTGAGGGTTACCATGTCTGTTCCGTACACTGGGGACGTCATTTTGATCTCCCAGAAGTGCTGGCCCTCTGCCAGCTCTTTGGAGCCGCGGATGGCTGCCGTGCCACAGCTGTACTCAGAGTGGAAGTTCACTTTGCGGTTGTCGCAGCTCAGCAATGTTGCTGTAGATCTGCTGCTGACATCCCAGAACCAGTCAAACTCTGAAACATCAGAAGTCATTCAGTCAAACATGGCTAAAGATACAAGACATTACATATTGTTTACTGTTTTTTTTTATCTGTGTCAATTAGCACAAAAAAATATTACTTGTAGAATCTATAGGTGAGAAAATCACAGAACTTAATAAAATACAACATTACACTACAATGGTGTGACTCAAGTGGGGCTGTACCGAATGTCATTTTTTAAATTCAAAGCTTCTATTTTTTTCAATAAAGTTTTGAATATCAATCCTCATATTTTATGACGTCGTAAATATTCAAAAATTACTTGATTTGAATAAAGAGGTTCAATGGATTAAATTATCATATTATATCAACTTCATTGATTAAGAAATCTTGTTAGTTTTGTCAACATAAATAAAGTGATGACATCTTAATGGAGCGACATACACAAAGCAAATGTCTATGCAAAATGTAATATTTTTGAATAATATTTATAATTCCTTTACTATAAAAGTGTTAAAGCCAAGATAGTCTTTTTTGTTGTGGTGACTCGGCAAGTCACAGAGCAAATACTTTCTTGATTTGAATGTGCAGCCCAAAACTCAAGCGACATCTCTCAATCAACCTTATTATAAACAGTGGTCTTGAAGTGCAGCAGGTGTCTTTACCCTGGTCCTCCTCTCCACAGTGGCAGTCTTTAACCTGGTGGAAGCCTCGCAGACGAGGGTTGTAGTTTGTCTCTGCCTGGGAGTCGCAGCCACAGAAGGACTCTCCGGTGACAGGCACTGCGCTGGGGACGGGAGGCACCATCACTGCTGAGAAGTCTGCCTCAGAGTCTGAATCACTGTACTGGGGGGAAGCAATGTAAACAAATAAACAAAAAAATCATATGCCAGGAGCATTTCTTATGTAACAGCATAGCAAATTTGTTTTGAAAATTGGCACTGCATTGAAAAATGTACACATCTACATCAAATGTAATTGTGAAAGGCAGGAATTATATTGCTTTTTCTTTCATCTCTGATATATTGGACATATTTTATTTTTCAGAGTTAGTTGTCATTAATTTAAGCTTTTTGATATATCACTTGTAAACATTTGTCTGTTTTTAATTTTGTAATAGTTTTAATAATAGTTTTTTTTTAGCTTATTCTAAAAACTTAATTTATTTTTCTGTGTTAATGTATGCAACATTTTACACAAAAGAAAATATCTTGTATGTTAACCTACTTGGCAATAAACCTGTTTCTGCCTCTGTTTACTTGCTATGGAAACGATTGGTTCTGATACAAAGCAGCAAACAACTGAAAGTAAATCATCAACAAACGCACATTGTTTAACGGCCGAAGGCAAATCAGACACTTTAAGTAAGACAGGGTTTTATGAGGTGAATTTTCTCATGGTGGCACATCCTATCTCCTGCCTGGAGTGTAAACAAGTGGCATCATATGACACAAACAATAACCCCAGTGTCCGCTGATGCTTCAGATCCGTTCAGAGCGTTAGGTCTCGGGGGAAAACAGCAGCCTTTACTCCGGTGTGAACGCGGAACCTTACGTCTAAGCGGTCATAGCTCCATTCTTCAAGTGCCCGGGCATCAGCATCTCGTCGTATCCCACCCCAAACATATCGCCATGCACGACTGTTCCTGCTTCTCCTGGACATGGCAGCAACTGAGACACTTCAGGATCAGTCCAGATGCTGACAGAGCAGCATCAATCCAGCTCCTGAAAGATAAAAGGACAACATTGTTATCAGTGGTAGTTTACCAACAGTTTGAATTGCTGATTGTAGCTCTGTGCACTGCAAGTTTTCTGAATCAGTTAAAAACACATTCCTACATGAGTTACATCATTTAGTGTTTATCCTGGTGTCTTGATTTTACCCCTAACATTTACTACACCTTTTGTAACAGACCCTATTACCTTTTGAACTTGCAATCCTACATTTCATGACAAACATCAGCTTTATCTTATTTATTAAGCCATCTTATCAAATGCTAATAACCAAAGTGAGACACTTTGTCAAATGCTTACTACTTATCTCAACGATAACAAATTGCTAGTAGTCAGGTCCTTGTCTACATATCGCTGTCATCATCAGAAAAACTGTTGTGGTCATTTGACGTGTGTTGTTGTTTTCTTAACTAGCTTTAGTTAGCCCCATCGCTAGCAGGAGCAGCTGAACTGCGCATCAAATAACACTTTAGCAGTAAAGCTAACCATAGCAAGGTCAGAACACCACATTTCAGAGCCAGACTGATGGTTTTGTGAGTCAATATATAACCATGTACACTTCTTAAAGTCGTTTATTGCGGTGTTTTCACGGTTTATTAGCCATGTATTATGAAAAAACTGACCGGAGGCAGATTCAGACCTAGCGTAAACTAGCCCATTAGCTTCTGTAAGCTGCGTGAAGCTAACAGCGCTGGATAAAACGTTAACGTTACCTGCCTGTTGTTCGCGGGAAATCCCTGACAGCAGCGAAGAGACGTAGTTCCGTGATGCCACTTAAAGCTAGATAGTTGTTTTATTACAACTGAATGAGCGGCTAGCTGGGTTTCCCTTTTTTACATGACCTACTTTACATTATTGTGACGGTAAACAATAACAGGCAGGCTCTCTGCAGGAGCCCCAGCACTGTCTCCTCCACAGGAAGTTTCTGCAGACTCCTGTCAGAGAGGGACCAGCCCCTTTTCTCTTTATGCAGTCTCTAAACTCTCTTTATACATCCATGGGACAGCAGGGAGGTGTTATTCACTGGTGGAGGAGGTATTTAGATGTTGTTTGTGTAAAAGTACCAGTACAACACACAATAATACTATAACAATAGCAGTTAAAACAATATATAGTGGAAATATTGATGAAGATTGTCCCCTTTAAGATTAGAGTTTGTTCATATTATCAGCGGTGGGAGTAGTTACATAGTATAAATGCCACAAACTATAAAACATACTCATCTTGCGTTATAAGACTTAGTAGGCTACATTTACTTAAAAGTTCATTTTGAGGGAGTTGCCCTTTGAGTGTTTCCATTTCATTTAATTTGTACATTTCAGGGGGAATGAATCTTAACTCAATTACATTGTATTCTTTATCAGTCTGTTAGGATGCAAATTAAGATCATTAATAATTAGAAATCAAACGTATACAAATGTTTTTATAGCTCAAGCTACACAGCAGGATATGTATCGAGAAGGCCCTAGTTACTAAGTGTCTATTAATTTCCACTTTAAAACACTGCAGTATTAAGGCATTAAGAAAGCAATGTTATGCACGTTTAGCACATCAACATGTGCTTTCATTAAAAATGTTTTGGAGACATTCACATCCACCTCAGGGTGAACTGTGATAACCCTTCACTTGTCATCGAGCTACTGATTCTACAAACTGTCTCTTATTCAATTAATCTTTAACTCTGAAATGTTGTTTCCAAGTCATCGCATTCACATTAGCAAAAAAAGCACATGACAATGACAAGTTTCTGGAGGAGGTTGAGTTTTATTTGGAAATCTGACAGGCATGGCTGAACAGTGAGCTCACCTTAAAACAAAAAACAAAAAAAGACATAAGCACTACAGGTAAACGATACTAGTGTTTCAGAATGTCATATTAAACATAAAGACTTGCACACACACATTATGCACTCAGGTCATTCAGACACACGCACACTCACTCACACACACACACTGTCAACCCCATGTCAACATGTGGACATCCTCCATTAATAATCACACTACATCCAGAGGAATTCCAAGCACTTAGAACAATTACCCACAGTGCAATTAATCTAACTATACACAGATCATTTATATATTTTTTATGTATATAGGGTATTCAATAAACATTATTCCATTTAGACAGTTTCATTAAGTCAAAAGTCCTCAGAACTTTCCATAAATAGTGAACAAAAATAATATGTATTGACAGCTCCTCGCCACTGTGATTAAAAAATAGTCACCGAAAAGAACATGAAAAGATAAAATACTAGTGTGCATGATTCTTCAGCAGTCTCAAGACGGAGAGTGACAATCAAAACCACCAAACGAAAAACGAAACTTCGGAGAGGGGAATGGGCAGAAGGATAAACGTTGATACTCACACTCACGGCACAGACTGGTTACTACATTTACAGGGGGGTGGAGGGACTCTGGATCACTGTACATGTTAAGATCAGACAACAAATCAAGCAGACTGTCCACACATCATCCCACAACAACCAATACATCTTCATGCCCGTTCAGTACTCACGAGACCTGACACAACCGGATGGCGTTAAACAATATGGATAGATCACATCTACTGGGGAACGCGGCACCAACATGTTTCTGATGCCATCCTGTCCTGTCAGACCCACGGGGTGTAATGGAAGTTAAGTGAAAATCTCCTATTTGTTCTTGCTGCTTTGATGTGGAATGAATGAGATGGTGTTTTGATGCGGACATCTATTTTGTAGATAGGATCAGAGCCACGATGAGGCCATAAAGCCCCAGCACCTCGGCGAAGATCAAGATGAGGATCATGCCCACGAAGAGCCGGGGCTGCTGGGCGGTGCCTCGAACGCCGGCGTCTCCCACGATGCCGATGGCGAAGCCGGCTGCCAGACCGCTCAGGCCCACGCTCAGACCGGCACCGAGATGCAGGAAACTCCTGTTGGGGAGGAACGGAGGAAAGAACAACGTCAAATTTTGAGTCCCTTCTCCTGTTAAACACTATAATATATCAAAAGTGATTCATATTAAACTTTGCTGATTCACTGTGACTTCACAAGCACCATTTATGTTTGAAAATGTAATTTAAATCCAAAAGTATTGTTTTTAGACTTGCATTTATAGTTTTAATAACTATGAATTGCTGTCTGGAGACATATTTGGTAATATGCATAACATGTTACTGCATTTTCCCTAATTTGAGTCAATCAAATAAATGCAAAATGAGAACAAAAATTGTTGTTACAACATATGAAATCTGAAAGGGTCATTCATTGTGCTAAACTTCATTTTTCTCAATTTACCCAGAAAAGTCCAACTCAAAAACATTATCTCTACCAGGAAGTCATGTTCAGGATGGGTGGCCATTAAAAAGTTTGAAAACAATAACAATAGAGGGCAGATAACATCACAAAGAAAAGCATCAACACCCAACAACAGATGACCAACCTACAACAGATGACCAACCTACAGGGATCAGAGGCAACATTGTTCTGTAAAAACTGATTTATGTATATTTTGAAAAATGTAACAAGGGTAAAGATTCCAAGTTAATTATACCCTGCATGAAAAGAAAAAGAAAACCCTCAGGGAATAATGTTCTCCGGCCCACACTCTATGATGGAGTTTTACCAAAAGAAACACCTCATTACCGGCCCAGCACAACACAGCAATGACCAGAACAAAGTGAATGTACCATTTCCAAGAAGGAAATCGATTAGCGAGTGCAAGACCCAGATGTTTATCTTTGAAGTTGATCAAAACGGATAAAAGGCCTTCAATTCATGACGTGGTCACAATTAGAAGTGGTAAATATAGCTACAGGACTGACTTTGAGTTTTTTATTTTGAGGATTTTATTGTGAAAGTTAGGCAGTTTGATGTTTAAGTGTATTGGCTTCAACTAAAAGCACATAAGCTGTAGAAGACGCCGTCTGCTATAATGTCTTCCCACTCACTGAAAGAGATCTAGTAGAGTATTGTATCAGAGGCTGATCTTACTTGTAGAGAGTGACTCTCTCTGAGATGTTGTTTGCTATCAGCACGGCCACCACCAGCCCGTAGATGGCGATGATACCCGCCATGACCACGGGGATGATGGACTTCATGATGAGCTCTGGCCGCATCACGGACATGGCAGCGATGCCTGTGCCGCTCTTCGCTGTGCCATACGCTGCTCCTAATGCTGTGAAGAGAGGAGAGAGGTAATTCATCAGTCAGTGTTTGTACTTCACTCCTAAATGATTCTTTACAAAACCAGACAGGATATGGATTTAGGAGAATTATTTATCCAGCTAATCGATTTAAATTCTCTCTTCCATCATACTGGCTCTGACAGTGTGTAAAGACCCGGCGTGCAGGCAAAATGAAACAGTAGAAGATATATTCGGCTGCCAGTTTTCTCCAGCCAAGCCATAAATAACAGGAATTAAAGTGATATAAAAAAAACGGCTTGCACTTCACACTAGTGCTTCCATTTTTAATGTGTCCTCACAAAGTGATAAACGGATGCAATCTGGAGCCTTTTTATCCCATACAACCTTGCACACTTCAACACTTTATTCCCTTTGTCTGACTTTCAGCAGGATTATGGAAAAAACGTACCAACCCATTCACAGGGTTGGTACACACCTTATTTTTGACAATCTGTGCAGGCATATATAACCGATTATCACACACGGCTTTGACGACAACAGGTGGAGAGCAACTCTGATGAGACGACGTTACTGGCTTATCATGAAGACTAGCTGGAGCGTACAAATAAACATATCACACAACACCGACTCCGCCACTTCTCACTTGCTGATGTGGGTGTGTTGACACTTTCGATGGCTGTGTTCTAATCGACTACAAGGCATTTTTTAATATTGTGTGAAAAAGCAACCCAGCATTTTCTTCCACAATTTTAACAGCGAGTATCTCTTTTCTTTTCATAAAAAACAGGAATACCAGACAATGTAATACCTTTTTGTCATCCAATATATATTCTGAGGCCTCCCTTTTCCAATGCATCGTAGGCTAATTCTGCTTTCCCGCTGTGCATCCAATATGGAAAGATCCTGGACCGACTCCATTGTGAACATCAAACAACTGTTGTGACACTGTAACAGCAGCAAGCATGGAGATTTCACTGAGGGGCGGGATGTTTTTGTGGCAGAAAGCTGTAAAGCCCAGATTATACTGGTGTCAAGGTGTCTCTGTGTGCCTATAATGGAGGAAGTAGTTTATAAAATGGCCTTGAGGCATTGAAGTGCTTAACTAAATAATTGTGTTTCCCTTTGCTTTGTGATACTGTAAACGGAAACAAATGCAGAGTCAAAATGTCAATTTGAGAAAAAGGAATTAATGCTACTTCCAGTCCTGCTATATGTTATCTGTACACTTCCTAAAATATTGAAAAATAATAATTAAAGCAGGCCAACATTTGTGCAGTACCAACATGTAGATAATTTTAGAAAAGGTATACATCAGCTACATTTGCATAGTAAGTAATAGGTTTTAGTTTAGCCCTACAATTAAATAACATTTAGAGAAGCGCTGAAACCATTGGTTGGCCAGGAAGTGACAGTTTCCACAAAAAGCTGAGTTTCTTTGCCAATCTCATTACAAAATGTAATATTCAGTAACATTTACAATCACAGAATCCATTTTTAAATGCCACAGCAATCCCTGTCCTCATGTTACCTTATATAAAATATGAATCCAATTTTAAAGCACTGTGGGAAATGTAATTTCATCAGACAGAGCCCTGGTACTGGATTGTTAGCTATATATGCTGGGTAAATTATTTTAATTATTTGACAGATAACATTTTGGATATGTACCTCAAGAGTCATCCAATATTTAAACATTTCCGAACTGTGCTGTAATATAATATAATATAATATGTTACAACCAATGGGAAACAGGGCTTGAACTAATCACAACATAAATCGTATTTACGTTATAATTCATGAAAATCTGGGCCTTG